TCAGAATGGGTTGAATATTTAATTTTTAAACAGCTTTTTTATTTATCTGTTATAAAATACCTTTTCTTTATTGGTTTGAAAATTTTTTGGAATGTTTTGTTTAAAAATGAGTTGAAAAGCATCCAAAACAGATTGATGTTTTTCTATCCTTTATTGCTACAACATGACAGTATTTAGTAAATATGTAGATTATGGTTAATAAATATTTTATGCCATTATTAAATCTAGAAAATTGTTTTAGCACAATTTAATCATCTTACCATAAGTCATTGGGATAAAAAGCTTTAGTTTTTCTTTGCAAATATTTAATTTGTACAGGTTTATGTAGAGTATAAACTGGTTGAAAAAACAACTATTTTTCAACAATAGGTCTTGATAAATTAGATGCTTTAACTAATTTACTCACACTACCAAATGATGCAGGTGATTTCAGATTATAATATATCAATTTCAAAAGTTTTTCCATTTGAGCCTTCCCCTCTTTCTTGAAGACTTCTTTCACTGGTAAAATATTCTTGGAGAAAAGAAAAAATAAATGTTGTTAGTAGAAATTATTTGGCACGTAATGTGTCACTTTGGACAAGCATGCTGTAGGTTTGCCACTTCTCTCTAAAACAATAATAATCACATCTTGTTTCACAGAACTTCAGGTACCTCAAGAATTCTGTAAAGATATTTACAAGAAATTTTTTATTTTCATTATTTTCCAAAAATTTCTACACTGTACTTTAACTATAATAAGCTTTATCACTTAGAAAATTAAACAGAAGTTTTCTACAAATGTTTCATTTCTTTAAACTTTGTTTAAAGTAGGGGTCCCCAAACTTTTTATCCCGTCGACCCCTTTATAGAAAATTTGCCTTCTTATCGACCCCAGATTAAGTATTTAACAAAAACATTAAATCATTTTTGTATTTCTAATGTTAAGCGATAAGGTGTCCTGCATAACAACCCAACAAAAGAATTTATAGTTCCCATACCTTATAAAATCCATCCAATAACATTAACAGAAAAGATCTTTTTCACTGATTTATGATCTTAAAAAATAATAGCAAAATTATGGATTGATGGAAATTTGCCTATAGTTCTTAAACTGTACGTGTTATAATACGTAAAATACACACTTATCTTTGAAAACATAAGTTATATTGGATGAAAAATCCTCTTACTGTCATTTTGCAACTACTACTGAATTACTTAAAAATATGTTGACGTGCCAAAAATTCACTATACCTTTAAAATGCAGTCTAGTTTACATCTGTCGAACGTTTTCGGTCGACGTGCCTTTTTATTAAAATAGTTGATATTAGTGGGATGGATGAGTCTGAAGAGAAGCAGCAAGATTATTGATATGTGGTTGAAAATTGTTAAGTTTTAGTCGCAAATCACCACAGTTTTCCAATTTCAATCTGTTCCTCTGTTTTGTCAAAATTGCGTTCACGTGGCTAAAACCAGCTTCAACCATGTATGCAAGTAAGAAAGGTTCGGCTTCTGCTCTGAGCTTGGGATGTTTAGGGCAATATTGTTATTGTTCCAAAATTCGCTGAGATTTTTATTTTTAAACAACGCTTTAGCTTTGAAATCTACACATATTTCACTCAGTTCATCTTCTAAGCCAGGTTCACTACCTTCATTATCTATTTTTACATCAAATGGATTAGCAAATCATTCGGGAACATGCATATTCTCCAAGTCTTCGAAATGTGCTTTAAAGTCTTCTCTTAATTTATCAAGATGTTCAATATATATCTCCAAATCACGGTCAGAAAACTTTTCATTTTCTCTTAGTACTCGCAAGTTTGAAAATTATTTAAAATCGGATCGTGCCAGTGAAGATGTAAATAGCTCCATTTTTACTTGAAAGGCCATAATGATTTTTCGAGCTTGAACAATTTGAACACTTTTTCCTTGCAATCGCTTCTGTACTACATTAATGATTTTCGATATATTACGATAATTTCTCTGTAAGCGACAAAATAGCTACATTTAGATATAAAATACTTAGAGTGTCAACCCTACTAGAGTGTAACAGTGCAACATATGTCTGTGTATAATGAAAAATAGCATTCATAACATGTTTGCAACACTAGTACAGTTACCAGATGCGTGAAAACAGAGTAACACATGCTTAAAGCGGTGTAGGCTAAGGCAAAATTCAAGTTATAACTAAGGGAAGTCAGTAATGTCGTTGATCATATCCGTATTTCGAATTTTTATTGAAATATTCTATTTTTTTAGTAGACAGTTTAATTGATCCTCTTTGGTATTAATCGACCCCCTTTCGACCCTCGTGTATTAATCGACCCCTGGAGAACATTTATCGACCCCAAGGGGTCAATATCAACCACTTTGGGGACCCCTAGTTTAAAGTTATGCAAAAGTAATAATTAAGTTAAAATGACCAGATATCCATTTTAGAGCATTGTGTCCTGGTGTACTGGTGAAAGCATTTGGGGGAAGGCATTTTGTCTAGTTTTGTGAAATAAGTAACATTGTGAAACTTATTTTTAGATTCAGTAATGAAAGTAAGTACTATAAAATATATTGCAAAAATTAATTTTGTTGATACAAATGATAGAAAATAATTTTCTAAATTTACTTTATTAAATTAATATAGCATTAGTAAAAAATTAAACAAATGGAAATTTGAAAAGATTAAAAGAGAACATTGTTGGATTGATACTGCCAATTAACAACATTCAACTCAAGTAAAAATAATAATTTGGAACATAAGAAAATAATACAGATTGTTGTTGAATGTATTACTGTATATTGATATAATGTAATACATTTGTTTCTGGTCACCTTAACTTAGACAGCCATTCTGTAGATTTTAAAAATTTGAAGACACTTTCATATAAGAATCAAAACTGATGAAAATATTTTCAGAGTTTTTATATAAAATAATTGATGATAAAATAAGGACAGCAAAATTATTAAATATTATGTTTGATTTTAGTGTATCTGTTACCGCTAAAGCTCGAAATCCGTTAATGTGCGCATTACCTAGCTAATCTACAGATTAACTAGGGTGATCCGTTAAAGCTGCGAAAATTATTCCATTTCTCAAATTACCTAGGTAATGTTCAGATTATTACAGGTTTATGTAGAGTATAAACTGGTTGAAAAATAAAGTGAAAATAAGATTTTTGCTGGAACAACAGCAACGTTTCTGTACGCTTAAATTAACATAATGTTATTTATTTAATTTTCAATATCTAAAGAATCAAGTTAATACAATCAACAAATTAGTTGATTGAATCAATCATCAATCAATTAAAAAAACTTTAATACAAAAATCAAACGGTTTAAAATATTACTACAATTAGGGAAATGAATTTGCAAAACATATGATAAAATTGTACTTACTTATTAGTGCAATCTAAAGATTGGTGACACTTTGAATTACGTAGCAATTGGTTTTTGCGACAAGCACGCCTATTTGTGGTACATTTAGATTTGCAGTCACATTTTCTGAAACCCTGCCCAGTACCAAGGGATTGTTTTATTGCTGTTTGACGTAAAGATATTTCTACAGCAGGGACATCCATCTTCTTTCGTTAAAAATCTCTCTTTGCAAACACTGAATTCAGATTTTGCATACAATTGTTTTAAAATACCTGTTTTAGTATCAAGTTTATAAAAGCCATCCTCTGTTTTACTAAGAACCACAGCTAAAATTGAACGTGCATCAGTTTTTGCTCTGTCTTCTTCGGGTACTTTAATTCTCACAGCGAAACCTTCATCGACGTTTGGGTGCTTTGCATTAGAAACTGCTAACATTTTCTTTGCTTGCTTTTCTAAACATTTCTTGGCTTCATCACGCTGTATTTTCTGATCCATATTCTTTTTACAGATGATGCACAATACATTCTTACCATACCCTTCCTCTTTAGGATCTACTTCACCACAAACTGCGTGAACAAACATATTACACGATTTACACTTGTGAGCACTTGATGCTGCTTTTGAGCAAACAATACAGACTATGTCTTGTATAGTGCTCTTTACAGGCTCCGTACGAAACTGTGATGGCGATTCTGCTGAAGTTGAGAGTAACTCAGTGATGACTTCTTCAACTTGCAGAGGCGATTCCTTGGAGGTGCAGGGTAACTGAATATTCTTCGTGACTGCATCATCAATCAACGGTATAGAAGGCAGTTTAAGATTACTATCGGTAAATTCTTGTATTTCTATAGGTGATTCTGTAGAAGCGGGGGATAACGGAATGTCCTCTTGAGTAAGATTTGACTGTGATCTCATAATCACAGTCTCTTGTGAATCTTCTAATTTTTCAAGGTCTTCTTCAGTTTTTATCGAATGTCAAACAATTCTCCGGCATGGACAAACTTTTTCAAACCTTTCTCGCGCATCTGACAACGGCTCAATGAGTTTTTCACAGCCTCGTACAGTCAACACATCACACCTTTGAATTATTTGATAATCTCGAGATGATTCTTTCTTCTTGGAAACTTTTATTTGCTTTACATCTTCAATTATGGAATCATACTTTGGTTTGTTATTAAAACACTACGTATTATATTTTAAATCTTCGCTAAAGAGGTTTGCGAAGAATCTTTTCTTGATTTTACTCACCAATTCGGTGCTTGCTTGCATTCTAGGATTTAAATTTATCTACGTAAAAAGAAGGAGTGGGGAAAGGAAGTGAAAGAAACAAACTTTTGAACTTTAACGATACGGAAGCCGTTAATGTGCAGATTACCTAGATACTCTGCAAATTACCTAGGTAATTTGAGAAATTGACCAATTTTCGCAGCTTTAACGGATTACCCTAGTTAATCTGCAGATTAGCTAGGTAATGTACACATTAACGGATTTCGAGCTTTAGCGGTAACATATCAATGATGGTGATTTCTTATTTACTTTTCTTCAAACTATAATTTTTAGTCATTGAGTTAGTATAAAAATTAATTAATACCATTTTGAATTAATTGCTTTATATTTATAATTTATAATTGAAGTGCTTTTTTTTAATTTAGGAATAAATTTCCTTTGAAAATTATTATCTGGCAGACAAAATCTGAAGCAAACTCTATTAATCATATTCTTGTTGAAGAAGGTTTAGCTGGTTTAGCAATATGTGTTGGTAATTTCTTAAAAACCAACAATGTGAATAATGAATTGGAAGACGACAAAGAAATCTCTGGTAATAATAAATTTGATAAATTGCTGTTTTTAGTTTGTTTTGTGAAAATATAATGATTTTTGTAATGGTTGATAACAATGTTGTGGTAGGATGTGCTTTGTGATATATGCTGGAATGTCTTCATGGGGTCTTTCTCACTTAAGAGCTGGGGAATCCAATTAGGAAGAGCACCTGCCAATGTTAAGGTGGAAGGTGTTGTGTTGAGGAAGGGAAGGTACTGGATGGTATAATAAGGTCATGAATAATCTCCTTAGTGTACCAGACAACACCCCATTGAATTTACTCTTGCATCTGCTTTAGGAACTTTACATGAGTCAATTATGTATTTTCCCTATTTTAATATCTGCACATAGATGATACTGACTTTTTACTTTTCCCCTCTGTTATATATAACAGAGGGAAAGTATGGCATTAGTCAAAAAATGACCCCCCAAGATGTTTACATTTTTGGACTTGACGTTGAAATGTCAAGAAATGCAAAAAATTTGGGAGTAATTTGTGTGTGTCAAGATTTTGTTACCCTCTTTGAAGCTTAATAATTCTATGCTTTTTGTCAAAAAATTTCTGAAATTTTTCAGGGAGGTTTATGTATTAGGGGGTTGATGCTATTAAATTTTGATGATTAAAGGTCAAGAGGTGGGGAGATAATGGGGGGTCGTGTGTATCTATGGTATGATTGGACTTAATGACGATTTTATTTGTTTTTAGCCTTTACAATTTTTAAAATAAAACAAATTAACTTACTGGAATATAAATACTTAAAATAACCAAACACCTTGGTATTTCCAGCAACAAAGTATTTAATAAAAATAATAATGTTTTTGACTATTTTTAATAGTCTTCTTCAGTTAAACCACTTTAAAACAAAAAAGAACGTAAAATAGAATGCAAGCAATACAATGTTTTAAAAATTTGAAATTAATTACAACAAAATAAAAATAAAATGCAAATATATAAGGAAATTCTAAGTCCCTATCTGAACTTGAGAGAGAGAGTTTACATCAAATAAACATATACTACCTTGTTGGATGATTGGTTAGTAGTCTTCAAAGTTGTGCAATGATATGATGACAGTGTAGAATGAACGGCGGTGAAATCAAGGAGGAGGATGTTGATTGAAGCAGGAACTGTTGGGTGCACAGGGTAAATCTTTGGGGAGAGTTGGGGTTTGGAGCACAAGAGAGAATTTTTGGAGAACTCCTATGGCAATGTCATATTTCTGTTGACTGCCCATCATCTATGTGGCAAATTCAGACTTATGTCGACTGTGTCTCATATGGCAATCTATTCTTTGGATGTCTACTACTACTACTATGGCACTTTCCAAGTTCTTGTAGACTGTGTCAAATAGCAGGAAAATTGCTCCTTTTATTGTAATTTCTGACCAATAGTGTTAAAGGATTTATGGTTGCTAATGGGATGTGCAGAGGGATAAATAACCAGATGTTTTGATTAAGATAGGAAATAAACTCTTTGGAAGAGAAGTGATTTTTTTTTTTTTCCATAAAAAGTGACACTGTATCTTCCTTTTTTGTAAACAAGTTGGAAAAACTAGATATATTTCTCATGCTAATTAACTAATAAAATTCCAAATCTCACAATTTACACAACAGAAAATTTGTAATGTAAAATATATATATGAATGATGAACAGTTTGTGAATAAGCTTGTTGTAGGGATATTGGACCTATTTGCTTTCTCCGAGTGTGATCTGCATTATATATAAATATGTATGATAATCTATGATATATACTTTGTCAGATTTATATTTATATGTTGTTTTATTTATTATTCTAAGAATGCTGAAGTTTAAAAATTTTTAAAAAATGTTAAAAGTTTAAAAAATGAAAAAAAGAAGGCTCTAAATTTCGAACGACGAACGGGATGGGATTCAAATGCTGTAAGGTTGAAGGAGGAGTTCGTTTTTTGGAGAATGTTAAATGTTTCAAATTCATTTCATTTAAAGATTGTTGTTAAAAAATAGGACCTGTAGTGATATTGTATTTACTACACTTGTAATGGAGAGAATGGAGAGAGAATGAATTGGTAGATATCACAAAAAAACATTTAAAAATATAAATATTTTATAATTATTTAAAAGAATTTNATGGCACCTAACGCTTACCTCTAGTGCCAAATTAATTACGTAATTTATTTAGAATTTAGCATTAAAATAGCCCGATTGATTTACGGCATTCGGTTGGTGTCTTTCTATATTGAATATCGGGTTTGGAGTTGTTTATAGTTTATTTTATATTGTATGTGAAGAGGGTCAGCAGCTTTTAGGTCTAGAAGTGGGTTCACTGCTGCTGACTGATGATGGTCAGCTTCTGGCCTTAGTTTTCTACTTGTTGGCTCAGATTAGTAGATTTGGGACTTTATGCTACCAAAGTAGAGAGTTCTCCAATACAATGTATGGAACTCTTTGTAATGATGTCTTTGTTATTGGATTTGTTCAATCTCCAACACTGCAGGACAGCTTTTTCATTGTTGCCTTGTACTCATGGAAGATATTGACATAGTCTTAATGCAGGATCTCTGAGTGTTCAAAGGTCAGTTTAGGGGGTATATAATTCCAGTGACACTATTTATCATCAGTTATCTTACAAGGATTTCAGAACTTGAATTTTTGCCAGTGAATGGATTAGTTTTTTAACTTGAATCTCCAGTCAGATTTAGTTGTTATATGTCTTATTTATTGGTTGTAAAAGATAGTGCCAAAGAGAAGATTTTAGTTTCCTCTGCCCATCTTTCTTATGATTTTTTTGACTTTTCCTATCTGTGATTCAGATTACAGTAGAACCCCTCTAGTCCGCCCTCGGCTAGTCCGTCGCTCCGGTTAATCCGACCGTGGTCGGAGTCGAGAAACTTGTCCCGACTCGTCAGTAACTCACGCCCGTCGCGTTGTTCTGTGTTCGTTACAGTATATGTTTTACATTGTGTGTACGTATACAGTTTTGTGTGTTTTACAACATGTCAGGAGTGAAATGTAAACACGTTACTCTTTCATTAAATGAAAAATTAGCAGTGGTACAAAGACTGGACAAAGGGAAAGATTGTTTATTTTACTTTTTTCTGATAATCCGATCTTTTTTGCGTTCCGACCATACCTCCAGTCCCAAAGACAACGAATTAGAGGGGTTCTACTGTATTGGAGATTTTCACCAAACTTATTCCTTTCTTAATTGGCTGTGATGCAAGTGCATAAAACTGTGGGGATTTAAGCAAAACTGCCTTTGTTGTTTTAGTTTGATGGCCTAGAGTGCTTCTCAAGATTATCAGATAAAGTTGCAAAGTTTATAGTGTACTGCATAACTTACCTTACTATTACTGGGACCCTGTCATGAACCCAGGACAGGGTCCCAGATCTTAAGATTTGATTGGGCCTTTCTCTTCATCTACTTATTCAGGCTGAGGTGAGGATGTCCTTTTTTAGACTCAAGATAGGTCAATTTGTTATCAGACCATGTTTTTTGGCTGTAAAGATATTTGCTGTAGGTCTTGTTGAAAGAAAACATCTTTTTGATGAATTCTTAAAAAAACTTTCTCAGTTTGTTTGATAAGCATTACTTGGTCTCTTTTCCTAATTGTTTTGATTGGCATATGGATAAGGCGACCTTTCATCCACAGGATATGGTTTACAGATAAATCTAAAATTTCTACTGTTTAGATTCTGTTTAGGTGTTAGATACATGAAGAAAACACAACATTGCATGGTGGCCAGCCTATTGGTCAGGCACGAACCAATGACCAACTACCAGTGTTCAGTGGTTTTATTTATTTTGCCACTGGTCATGTGTGTCAATGTATGGAGACTTTTGAGTCATCCTGTATAATGAAAATTTGCAAAATTTGACTTAAATTTTCACTGATCTGAAACTTCCTTTTCCTGCAGCATCATAAACTTTAACCATGGGTGTTCCCCCCACAAAAATTTCTGGCTACATTCCTGATTACACGTGATGACTATATATGGAAAAATATAGTCTTTGTGTCATCTACAATTAAATGAACTTTGTTAGAAGTGATTGATATTTTTATTGTCTTACAATCTGTTTAACAGTTTCCTAAATTGATTTTTAAATGTTAAAATTCTGAATCTGTACATATAGAAAAAGTGCTTAATGAAATATTTGACAAAAGAAATTTAATTCTTAAATTAATAGATGATGGAATTTCATTGTTGTTCAAGATTTATATGCAAATCTTAAGAAAATAATAATTGAATAAATAAACATTTTAATAATTTTCATTTAGTTAAATTGCAACTTTAAATATATTTCTCTTTAGATAATTGGAATCCAATGGCTGATGATTTTCTCAGTGAACGTAACTCATATAAAGTAGATATTGATGATCCTGGTGTTGCTATTACTGGCTACAGTAAGTATCAATGTTGTTATTATTTTATTATGATTTATTGATTCTAACATGTTATAAAATGATCAAAACTTTTCAGTAAGTGATGATTTTTCAAATTATTTTAGCTCAGTGTTTAGAAAATATGAATTATACAGTGTGTGTTTTACTATGAAACATTGAATTATAACTCAATAAAATTAATATTGAAACATAGAAATTAGTATACAGCCTTTTATATTTTTCAGTTTTTTTATTTTTTCATTCTACAGTGGAACCTCGGTATACGACCTTAATCCGTTCCCGACGTTTGGACTCATACCGAATTGGACGTATACCAAACCAACCTTTCCCATAAGAAGTAATGTAAAAATGATTAATCCGTTCTCGTGTAAAAAAAATGGCTGGCTTTAAACACTTTGCTTTCCTGGCTAGTTCCTGCTTGATTTTTCGTGAGATCATCGTGTATCTTTTTAGTTTTCTCGCAAATAGTTGCTTCTGTTGCTACTAGGTTTGCCTTATGTTTCGCACATTTCAAGTGATTTTTAATGTCAGTTCTGATACGCTGTCGCCAGCACACTGTTTTTCAGTTATCCAAAGCAAAAGCAATTTCTCGACATGATCTAATGTCTTCGATCTCTGTTTAGAAATTGATTTAACCTCTTTCGCAACGTTAGCAGATTTAATATTTTATTTTTAGCGATTGTCGATATCGCTAAAAATAAAATATTAAATCTGCTAACGTTATGGATATGATATGCAACAGTTAAAATCTTGAACATGCATGCCACCTTCATATTTCTCAACAATCTCTTTTATCAGTTCCATTGTGATTCTAGTCATTCTTTTAGATTTCTGTTGCTTTTCATTTGCCTTTTTGCAATTCATGATTAATAAAAAATAATAGAATTTTACTTACAAATTAAAGTTAGAAGAAATTCAACAAAGTTATAAACCGTTGCACCGCGAACGTCTAGTCTGGTCTAGTACACCGATAGTGCTACTTGTTCATTGATGGCGCGTATTTATGTCGTATACCAAACAAAAGTCGTATACCGAGCAAAATTTGTTTCATCCAAACAAGACGTATTCTGAATTGGACGTATTCTAAAGCAGACGTATACCGAGGTTCCACTGTATTTGCAACGATAGCTTTTGTGGTTGCATGCTAAAAGATTTTACTTTACAAAATTGAAGCCTCAATTTTGATTTTCCATGGGATCTCTATGAATCACGTTTGCTTGGGTTATGGTATAGGAATAGAGATTATAGTATCTTATATTAAATCTATTAATGATTTTGTCTTATGTCCAATGACAGCTATATAGAATGCATTAATGAATCGAAGTTACACAAGTCACCTGTGACTCGTAATGCCCAGTAGCTGCCTAAAAGTTTATCTACTTACGCCGTTAATGTGTTAAACAAGTGTTAACTGAAGGAGCAGTAATAATCTCAAACACAAAGTGTAGGCTAGGTTGGGTCAACCAGTTGTGTTTAGCAGGCCTACTACCAGTACTTTGCACTTCATAAAGTAATCTTACAAAATATGTTAAAATGAAGTTATTATGTGCCTGGAGTAAAATTTATTTTAAACTGCTATACTATTGTGTATTTTATTAAAAGCAGTCATATTTTATACTTTGTATTCTGATGTTGACATTAGAAAGAATTAAAAATATTTCTCTGAAACATTTACTTTAAACTATGTTGTTTGTTTGTTTTATAAATTATTAAAAAGATGATTTAATGTAACTTATTGTTTCATTTGAATAAAATACTAGAACATGAATATAAATATTAATCAAAAGAGAAATTTGTTGGTTTTATATAAAAGAAAAAAATACATATAATCTTTAAAACTTTTTATTCATTTAGAATCAAATCAAGAAGGATATATTTGCAGACACTTCCTCCGTACAGGAAAATGCTTATGGGGTAACAATTGCAAATATAAACATACCCGAAATGAAGGTAAGAAGTAAATAAAATGTTAAGATCATTTTTTAATCACACAACAGATGCAATATCAATCTAAAAAATATGTGAAAAAAAATGAGAGATTTTGGACATCATACTTAAATTACTGTACTGTGTAGGAGATACAGAGTTAAGTTGTTTATGAATCTTAAGAATAATATAATTTTCTTTTTATATTTATATACATGATCATTTTTAATTTTGTCTAACTCTTTTATTATAGCTACAATTATTTCTTTCTGTTTTGTTTCATTGCATTTGTAAGCAGTGGTTTCATTTTTTAGTTACTTTGCTCCACTTGTTAACTAACATTTTAGCTGAATTTTTCCTAGAACTTAGACTTCTGAGAACTTTATCTTCTGACTTTCTAGTATAGCATGGTCTTTCTGTTCTTGGTTACATGTCTGGTTTTCCTGTTTCTTTATATTTTTGTAATGATGCTACCCAAAGTAGATTTATGATATTCAATTAGCTTGCTTTTGCTTGCATAACACCATATAAAAGTTTTTTAATAATTAACTTTCTCATATCTTTTCCTGTTGGTTTACAATTAGGAATCATAGCTACATTTATGTGAATATTGATTCTAACAAGTCCAATATGCAAAATATTTCAGCTAATGCAAGCTAAAAAACACAGTGATTATTTTCTATGTAAAATATCAAGTTGTTGTAACATAATTTTATGAATGTAATCAAAGTTGCAGGACTTTGTCTCTTGGTTGTACACACACATTCATGTGTGTTGATATGTTTGTTGTACCAATGAAACATTGCAAAGTAATTAATTTTATACATTACATGTATTTATAGTATTTTGAATATTTATAAATTGTTAATTTATTTTTTAAAACATTTTTAATGAATTTAAAGTAATTTATATTTGCCATAAATTTCATATTTAATTTGAAAAATACATTGGATATTTTGATTCATAATATTTACATATTAAAAATGCTAAACATTAGGAAAAAACTAACAAATAACAGCAAAAGCAGATTTTGTTTTAAATATGTTTATTTTTAATTATATGTACAAAATTAATTTTGGAAACAATTTTTTTTCCTTTTGTAGATTATGCAGATGATGTAATATTAGGCAATGAAAATATATTTTCATGTGATATTGATTTGGATATACCTGAAAATGGAAAATATGTATTGGTTCAAATTAGTGCTGTATTTAATCCTAGTCATTTTTATGTGATCTTTCCTTATGGACCTGTTTCTCTTCATGAAATTATTTCTCAACGTAAGTATGTTTTTGGTAATAATAAATTAGAAATATAAAAATTAAAATAATACAATTATTAATAATTTCCCAATAAACTTTAGTTACATTTAAACATTTATTTTTAATGAGTTACTAAAGTTGGATTTGGCTGTATTAATTTCTTATAAGAATATAACTTTTTTATTCTTGTTTAAATTGTATTATTTACAAATATACAGTGTTTTCTTGATTCTTAGGTGCACTTTTTTACTTAATTTTTACTCTTTGGAAATAGAGATGCCCCTTAAAATTGATTGTGTTTTATATTTTGCAGTCTAAAATAATAATTGGCAGTCATTACAAATAAACCATATGATGCACTATGTATTGTAAATAGATGTCTTTTTATTAATCAACAATTACATCGGTTCAAATAAGCTTTCTAGTAACAAGCATATAAAATTCTGTTTAGCATTTAAAGTGCTTTTGAGATAACATAATGATGCAGCATTAAAGTAAAAATTACTTTATATGAAGAAGAGTTTGGAAATAGAGCTATTGAAATTGCTTATTTCATTGTAGTAAATTAATAAAACAATTTAATTAAGAATATGTGATCTAAGTAATGATGTGCAACTGGCTAAGCAGCAGTGTTACCATTTAATTGTTCTTTACCTGAAAACCATCAGTAATTTGCTTATCATTTCTGACACACAATTTAATGTGTGTGACTATTTTGAAAGTATTTTAAAAAGTCTTAATATTGTTTAATAAAACTTTATATGATAGTTTCTTTTAAGGAAACTACATACCAACTAAATTTTTTTTATTTTAGAAAATACATTTGGGCACTTTTTTACCCTTCTTCATTCCCTTTTACAAATTTTTTTTTTTTAATTAGTTTCTATTTTGTTTGCATTACATTCAGTATATTAGTTTTAAATTTATTTTTCCTATTTCTTTTTCCTTTCTTATTACAAAAGTTAACAAATATAACAATCTTTGTGTTAAATTTGATAACCAAAGAAAGTCTTCATTTTTTATTCTGCAAACAACACAATTTTCAATTAGGCACATAGCATTGTTGTGACCATTTCTGTTGTTCTGAAGTAATGCAGATGATATTTCCTATACCTTAGGCAGTTTTATACCTGGATATTGACCATAGCATGTGTACATATACAAGTGCCATGTATCTTTTTGCTGCTCACAGCACCACTAGTTGTGTAATTGCAAGTTTTGACTGCTACATATTTCTCCATACTGCATTGAAAAAGAATACTTTCATTTTGATCACTCTGTATACAATCTACAGTAGCATTTCATTCCTTGTCTTTATCATTCTGAAACATTTAATTAATAAAAGATTATCATCAACCATTTGATTGATGATCTGTAATAAATCAAGAGTTTTTAGTATGCTTAGTCTGAATAGTTTCCATCAGCTTGTATGAACTGAAGTTAATCCAGAGGTTTCCCATATATTTCTAAAAAAATTTATGAATTGTTTGTTTGTTAATATTAAACTATTTTCCATTATTTTCCATTAAAGTTATTTGATAATTAGATGTGGTCAGTTTACAGACACTATCTGATTGTTTTTGGGGATTGCACCACTGTAGTCATTTCTTCATATATTGTCTTTAAAGGTCTGATTATTCTGAAATTTTGTAAACTTTTCAAAAAGTATATGAGCATTAGAGAGCATTAATGTCAAGAACTTTATTTATTCATAAATTTTTCTCTCTCTCTCTCTTATGATAAATAATGACAATGATTTTGTAGGAATCCAGTGGGTAAAAAATGCTTTTTCTTACTCGTTTGGCATCAGATCTGGAAGATCCACTTGCAAGGTCGCTAGGATGGGTTTTTAGTATGTTAAAATTTGGTTACAGGGAGTTTGTAAGAACTACCTGTAAGTTTGTTTTTCCTGACACCAGCCTAATTAGGGTGTTAGGCATGCTAATGGATAAAATAATAATTTTTTCTGAGAGGAAGGGATCGTAGATCTGTGATACAACTTTGGCGTGGAGTTGAATTCAGTAACAAGTCCATTTTAAATCAACAAAACAAAATTTATTAAGAACAAAATAAGAATAAAAATAAAATTACAGATAAACAAAGGGTTTGTAATTTCCTATCTATTTGCATGAGAGAGAGAGAGAGTTTACATCAAATAAACATATACTACCTTGTTGGATGATTGGTTAGTAGTCTTCAAAGTTGTGCAATGATATGATGACAGTGTAGAATGAACGGCGGTGAAATCAAGGAGGAGGATGTTGATTGAAGCAGGAACTGTTGGGTGCACAGGGTAAATCTTTGGGGAGAGTTGGGGTTTGGAGCACAAGAGAGAATTTTTGGAGAACTCCTATGGCAATGTCATATTTCTGTTGACTGCCCATCATCTATGTGGCAAATTCAGACTTATGTCGACTGTGTCTCATATGGCAATCTATTCTTTGGATGTCTACTACTACTACTATGGCACTTTCCAAGTTCTTGTAGACTGTGTCAAATAGCAGGAAAATTGCTCCTTTTATTGTAATTTCTGACCAATAGTGTTAAAGGATTTATGGTTGCTAATGGGATGTGCAGAGGGATAAATAACCAGATGTTTTGATTAAGATAGGAAATAAACTCTTTGGAAGAGAAGTGATTTTTTTTTTTTTCCATAAAAAGTGACACTGTATCTTCCTTTTTTGTAAACAAGTTGGAAAAACTAGATATATTTCTCATGCTAATTAACTAATAAAATTCCAAATCTCACAATTTACACAACAGAAAATTTGTAATGTAAAATATATATATGAATGATGAACAGTTTGTGAATAAGCTTGTTGTAGGGATATTGGACCTATTTGCTTTCTCCGAGTGTGATCTGCATTATATATAAATATGTATGATAATCTATGATATATACTTTGTCAGATTTATATTTATATGTTGTTTTATTTATTATTCTAAGAATGCTGAAGTTTAAAAATTTTTAAAAAATGTTAAAAGTTTAAAAAATGAAAAAAAGAAGGCTCTAAATTTCGAACGACGAACGGGATGGGATTCAAATGCTGTAAGGTTGAAGGAGGAGTTCGTTTTTTGGAGAATGTTAAATGTTTCAAATTCATTTCATTTAAAGATTGTTGTTAAAAAATAGGACCTGTAGTGATATTGTATTTACTACACTTGTAATGGAGAGAATGGAGAGAGAATGAATTGGTAGATATCACAAAAAAACATTTAAAAATATAAATATTTTATAATTATTTAAAAGAATTTAGACTTAAATCCTTTAGAATTTAATTTTTTTTTTTAGAACAACAACCTTCCTTTAATTTGGAGCAGTTGGTGAAAGATATGAGGTAAGAAATTCTTTTAATTGAGTATCATGGATAGATATTTATGGAAATTATAAAAAAAAAACATAAAAAAACAACCAAAAAATAAGCTGTAATAGTTGTAGTAGTAATTTTTAATTCAGAAATGATTTTACAAAATTTGTTCTCGCTTTTTTGTAGATTTTCTTCTTTTCATATTATATTGTCATTAGAACATGTATCTACAAAAAATCCTAATTAAAATTAGTTTCAAAATAACAATGACACACTAGCAATGTTGTTGTTGGGCTAGTTTTAAAAAGTTATTGACAAGACTATGTCTTGTCTATAAAATTGTACTGCCTGCTTAGAGGAAGTATGAAGGAGTACATGTCAGGAGTTGCAATTTGGCACAGAGTATTAGGTGCCCAAATCATGCATGCATAAAAAAACCAGACTTGTAGGTACTCATGGGACCAAGAATCTAGTCAAAAATAAAATTCAAAATGGCAACACTCTCTACAAACAGGCAGTAGTACGAGATTTGTGCATGCATTGCTAGTTGGAAATGAGAACGGTGTGAAATCGAATTTTGACAAATGCATGCATTGGGAAGTTCGAAATGAGAAATTGAATCTTTGAAAAAAACCCATTTACCTGTCTCTGTTATTCCCAACATATCTCTGATTGCCATGTGCTAACCTTGTGACTGGTTGACCCGAGATATCTCATTTCATCATCAGAACATTTTTGAAAGTAGATGGTGCTAGTCATTATAATTTTATATTAAAACTAACTTCCAAAATATAATTTGTTTTCTTTTTACATTTATTAATATATATTGTATTTTTTTCAAAAATGGGAAATTTTTGTTAGGCATCAACAAAAATCAACCCGGGGCAACATGCAGTGGAGAGAAATTTCAAAATTGGTGGGTAGGTTAATTTCACTGAAAATGCCTTGTGGTAGTGGTTGGCAAAGTTTGAAAGATTGTGCTCAAAACCAGTGATACCAAAGAAGATTGGAGAATGAGAACGAGACCCGCCTTGAGTGTCAAAGTGATCCCACTTAGTAGGGAGTCTCTGAAACATAGTCTTGTCCCAAATACAGCCTTGCCATTTTACTAGTTTCATTTAAATTTTATGCAGGTTTTAGTTGAACTATTTTTTATTCTCTAAATTTATACAAGATATATTTTAAATAAGAGATTAAAATATATTTTGAATTGTAAGAACTTTAGCGAACAAAAAAGTTCTTTGACTAAAACTTGCATGAAATTGATACTTTACAGGATGATTAAAAAAATATGACACACTTAACATTCAAGTAATAAAAATATTTTGATTAAAGCTTATTATAAAAATGTAATATGGCAACATGAAATTTGTGATAAGACTTACTGCAGTTTTGTCTAAAAACTCTGTGATCAGTATGCTTTGTAAAGTGGGATGAGGTGAACACTATATGATTTTGCTACCCAATATGGTCTCTTGGTTGATTTTGATGTCACAGACATGCCTTACAAGAAAATTGTCCCAACATTGGTTTTCTGAATGTTTGGAAAACAACTTTTTTTGTATAAAATTCAACTTCAGAGTAATTGATAACAAAGATAGATTTCATTACATACACAACAAAAACACTTGCCAGCATTTTACATCATCACAAATTTTATCACTGCCATATTTAAATTAGTCTGTCTTACTTCATACTTAAATTATTTACTGTTTTATTTATTTCTTATTCCTCATTTGCCATCATTTTACTTTCCTGTCCCTCTGTTATATATAACGGAGGGCAATTGGTCAAAAACTAACCCTCCCAAGATATTTTACATTTTTGGACTTGGGACCTTGAAACATTGTGAAATACAAACAAATTTGGGGTTTTTTTCTGTATGGATGTTTGTATGGGGGGAATGATTTTGTTCACCCTGTTTGAAACTTTTATGCTTTTTTGTTGAAAATTTCTGAAATTTTGCAGAGAGGTTTGTGTATTAAGGGATTGATGCTATTAAATTTTGGTGATTAAAGATCGAGAGGGTGGGGAGATAAAGGGAGTTGTGTGTCATATCTCCAGTTGGGTCTGATTTAATGAAGATGTTACTTGTATTTTCAATTTTCAATTTTCAATTTTTATAAAATCCATCCCTACCCTCAAAATCAAGCTTTTGTCATTTTATAATAATTAAAAATATAAAAAGTTTTTAAATATAATATCGGGGGGCGCTTCCGACGTTCGTCAGTGTTTTTGTTGAATTATAGCACTTTAGATATGTTTGCTTTTACAAAGTGTCTGGTTCTTTATCTTGGTTTCATCAAAGAATTTGATATATATTTATTATTACGTGCTTTATTGGTAATTGGAAGTATTGAATCTAACCCTGGACCAATGTCTTGTACTCCACCTTCCTTCCCTATTTTAAAGTCGTCCATATCAGTTGTTGGAAAACGTCAAAGATCTCCTAGTGAACCGACTTTGAAATCTCAGCGATTGAAAATTTTTTTCCTCCTGCGGGTTCTTCTTCAAATGTACCCCAAAATTTATTTTCCTTTTTAGAGGAAAAATTTGATACCATTTTGACTAAACTTGAAGATTTATCTACTAAATTCGAATGGCTGGCAAATTTGCATAAAGATTTTGAACAACGTCTTCTCAATGTAGAGAAGAAGGTGGAGGAAATTTCTAATTTAAATACCTCATTTACTGCTTCGACCTCCTATTTCTTATATCTTTTAGATTCATCGATAAATGAACGTCAGAGAAATAATATTGTTATTGCTGGTTTAGAGGGAAACTCGTCTGAAATCTTGTCCTTGGCTTCTGATATTTTGTCATCTATTAAAAGACCTAGTGGTGACTCAATTTTGATAAAAGATCTTAAAATAATCTCAAAAAATAAATTGGTGGTGGCTAAACTTGACATTGTCTCCGATAAAAAACTAATTTACCGGAATGTTCATAATATTCAGAAGAGAGAAGGATGCTCTAGGGTAAAGTTTTTCGATGATTTATATTGGAGATCGAGACTTAGGAGGAAAGGTCTTTTTCCTTTCTATCAAGAGGCTAAGAAGACTGGAAAAGATGCGTATATGAGAGCTGATTGTCTAACAGTAAACGGAGAAAACTTTACGTTTGATTTAATAAGCAATAAGCTAATGAAAATTGAACCTTTTTTATTACCAGGGAAGACGTTGGATCGACGAATGGACGAGAATTAAAAATTTCAACTGTTACTCCTCATTCAGAGGTTTTTTATACGCTAAAGGTATTATNAAAAAAGGTCAACAGGTTGATTGCAACGAACTGTGCAACAAATGAACTTGCCAAGACAAACTATAAAAAGTTAATTTTCTATGTGATATTCGTAATTGCAATGAAGCCAAATCTGGCAATGTGGCTCAGAACCGACTGAAGCGCCACTTGTAATCGTCCAATGCGCCACGTTTTGGCCACCCCTGCTCTAGGGTAAAGTTTTTCGATGATTTATATTGGAGATTGAGACTTAGGAGGAAAAGTCTTTTTCCTTTCTATCAAGAGGCTAAGAAGACTGGAAAAGATGTGTATATGACAGCTGATTGTCTAACAATAAATGGAGAAAACTTTACGTTTGATTTAATAAGCAATAAGCTAATGAAAATTGAACCTTTTTTATTACCAGGGAAGACGTTGGATTGACGAATGGACAAGAATTAAAAATTTCAACTGTTACTCCTTATTCAGAGGTTTTTTATACGCTAAAGGCATTGTCATGGAATAGTCAAGGTTCATTGTTTGATAACTTTTCTGACAAGAGTTTTGTTGATTTTGTATCATCATATCATATTGTTGGTATAACTGAATCATGGATGACATTTTCGGTGAAATCCTTTCTTTCATCATTGGACTCCCAATTCTATTTTACTGAAATGTTAGCTCATAAACTAGAGGGACCTGAAAGGCCGTCTGGAGGCATGTTTCTAATGGTTTCTCGGAAACTTGGTAAGTTAGAAATTTGTCATCTTTCTGATAACTTTATTGTGGCTAAACTTATATTTGATAAACTTATGTTTAAGGATCGTCCTGGGCTTTTAATTGTTCTGGTTTATATGTCTATTCATAAATATGATTCATTGATCGAGTATCTTGATAGATTGATTCTGGATTTTAAAGATGATGATGACATTCTGATCCTTGGTGATTCTAACGCTAGAATTGCTTCCGAAATAGATACATTGTATATAGGTTCTAATAGAAATTTTCATAATATTAGAAAATCTAACGATAAAATTTTTAACTGTAGAGGAAAAAGATTTTTGAACTTGGTCAAATCTTATGGAATGATTCTATTGAATGGTCGTTTTGTTACTGATTCTCCTGCTAATTTTACATTTATTTCCTCTTTGGGTGCATCAGTTATCGACTTGATAGCTATTAATCCTGAACTAGTTGATAACTTAGTGGACTTTAGAGTTTTAAATAAATTTGATTCTGACCATCTCCCTATTTCTGTTGAGCTCAGGTTTGACTCTCTTTTTCTTAGTAAAGAATTGCCTGCTGAGATACGTTGTTACGTGTGGAGATCTTCATGTTTGGATAAGTATTTGTATAATGTCACTAAGCGATATGCAGATATTAAGGGTGGATTTTTTCTGGATTCCTTTTCTTTTTATTCGTCCTTTGTTGACGTGATTCTTGAGTCTGTAACTCAAAGTAATATGTATGTTAAACATCATTGTTCAAGAAAATTTGTTAAGTCTTGGTTTGACATTGATTGCCTACGATTGAAGAGAGAGAAGAATCGTGCTTTACGAGCATTTAGGCGATCAAGAACTGAACAACACTTTATTATTTATTCTAACTTGGAAAAAACTTTTAAATCTATATGTAAAGCCAAAAAGAAACTATTTTGGAATAAGATTAACTTCCAATTATCACATATTAAAAACTCTGCAGAATTTTGGAAAATTGTTAATAAATTTAGACATGGTAAAGCTGTGTATAATAACATCTCTATTCGTGATTGGTCGGATTACTTGAGAAAATTTTTTTCTGGACCATCTTTGGTTGTACTGTCTATTTGTACTAATGTTAATACGGATCCATTGCTCGATGAAACTTTTACATTTGATGAATTACAATTTGTGGTACAATCTTTAAAAAATAATAAAGCCCCCGGACTAGATGCTGTTAAGGCTGAGATGGTTAAATGCCTCTTGACTAATATTCTAAATGATTTGTTATCTATGTTTAATAATTTTAAAACTAATTATTCTTTTCCCATTACTTGGAAAAATATTTGTTTAAAAATGATCTATAAGAAGGGTAATCGGTTTGATCCTATTGTGGTGGTGTGGAGGACAAAAAAAAGGATGACAAAGAAGTAACTATAAATTAAACAGGATATTTATTTAACTACAACTACGTAGTCCTTCGTACACCTGGTTTGTTTACACTAAACACACTTGATCCCAAACTATAGTACGCACACAAGTTCGAATTCATCCGACGAATTCTATATGCTTTCACGGGCAGGAGACACGTGCTCGCGACAATGCAAAATTTGGTTTGAGATACTACAACTAACTTAAAATCTACCTTAATCTAATTTATATGCTAAGGAAGAAGGGTGAAGAAATTAAGAGATACGAAGAGAAGAGACAAGTATAAAGGACAGATTTGTGGGGGTACCAGGGTAAATTTGGCAATCTCCGATCTTCTCTATATCGGTACTTGAATTAACTCAATTTCCTTCCTCTTGATTCCGTCTCTTGAGAATTCGAGAGCGTTTTTCTTGAGGTCTTAATCTGGGTGTCTTTCTAATTTTCGTCCGTTCGCAGACAACTTCCAAGCCTTCTCCGTTTGTCCCACTAGGTGACAAACCTTTAGCTTGCTGTTTTCTACGTCTGTACACCTCGGACGCTGACCCGAAAGTGTCTTGTTCGTTTTACTGATGGCCTCAGGGCTTCTTAATGTCCCCTTTGTCTTCTCCCTTTGTCCTTGGACAAAGGTTGTCCTCCACCCACAGAAAAAGAATAGGTTAGAAAGTTCTAGAAACAGACGTTAAAGACAAAGGAATTTAGGAGAAATAAAACTTATATCTATCCCTATGTACAAAGACATGGCGTACCGCCACACTATGAATTATCGTCTGATATCGCTAATTAGTGTAATTAGAAAAATTTTTTCTACGTTATTGGCTAATCGTTTACGTCTTTGGCTTGAGCGGTCTCACACTATTTCTATTGGTCAAGGTGCTTTTGTAGTGAATAGAGGTGTTGATTATAATTTATTTATATTTCTTGGAATTTTGCAATTAAATTTGACTAAGAAGTGGAGGAAATTACTTATTAATGAGACTAAATCTAAAGTAATGGTTTTTCGGAGAGGGGGTAGACTGGGGAAAGCTGATGAATTTTATTTATTTAACTCTGAGTTGGAGATAGTTTCATCCTACAAATATCTGGGTATTTATTTTACTCCACAGGGTTCTTTTTCTTTTCACTTAGATAAATTGTTTTTGAAATATAAACTTCAGCTTTCTAATTTAATAAAACTTATGGTCAGAATGAAGCAGTCTTCCATTAAGTCGTATTATCGATTGTTTGATTCCTTGATACGTTCAAGTTTGGGGTATATGTTCCCTATTTGGGGACCATCTTTTGTTGATAAATTGGAGAAGACGCAATTGAGATTTATTAGATCAATATTTCATATTAATTGTTCGGTTCCTGGACCTGTTTTAAGATTTGAACTGGGTCGTCCACCAATGGCTATACGTTTAACAATGATTATTTTTAGATACTGGAGTAAAATTTTGGAGTTACCAGATTGCGACCCTAGAAAGTTGATTTATAACAAATTGAAATTAATAGTCGGAAATTCTTCGTTTGTAACTTGGTCCTCCTCAGTTGAAAATTTATTGTCTGAATTAGGTTATTCTACTGACTATTATATTCAGGTCTCAAATAAAAACCTTTTTATGGCTGAAATATTTCAGTCATTAAAAGATAAATACTGGGCTCAAGACATTCAATATATTGAACAAAAGAGTAGGTTTTTTGAGACTTCCTCAATAGCTCCATGGACACCTCGATATTATTTATTATCAAATTTAAGTTATAATATTAAATCCTTGATAATTCAATTGCGACTTAATGACTATACTATTATATTAAATAGGCGTAGAATGAATATTTCCGCCCATTCTAACTGCCCTTTATGTAATCGACTCTGTGAAAATATTAAGAACCATTTATTTGTATCTTGTGAAATTACTGAACATTTAAGGGATACATTATTAACAACTGATTTTGATATGTTTTGTTTATACGATGATAATTTAAGCTCTGACATGTTATTTAAAGTTTATAAATTTTTCTGTTATTTATTAAACATGTTAACATAACATTATTAATTAAGTTTTAATATTTTTGAAATTATGTATAATAATGTTTGTATCTGTTAATGTTGCACGATTTTGTAACCCCCTTTGTAAAGGCGAAAGCCATAGCAAATAAATGTTGATTGATTGATTGATAATATCATAACAGATGATACCACATGCAGTTTTAAAATATTTCTGGGAAAGTTAAGCAATTCTGTGTCTGATGTTTTTCTCTTTCCTACAACTTTATTTTACATGAGAAATGTACAAAACTTGGCATTGTATTTAAATAAAATTCAAAATACTTGTTAAGGAACCAAAAGTGAGGATTTATTAGGGGCATTTTCAGCTTTACTATTCAACCAGCTTCAGCTAACAACCAAGTAGCTAGTTGAATAGTAACCAAAAATGTTCCTAATAAATCTTCATTTTTGTGCTGTGTAACAAGCACTTTGAGTCTTATTTTCAACTATGCAACATTATATATGCTGCTTCTTTAATATTCTAACAGTATTTTTTCTTTATTCTAAATTTATCAATTTTTGTATGACTCATTTTCTAAATCAAAATTGTTTTAATTAAGTACAGTAAATAAAAATTTAATTTTATAATATTTTTTCTTATATTTTAATTTACATTTCATTTTCATTCCAATATTTTTTAATGATAGTTGAATAAAATTTAAAAAGAATAAATTTTTTTTGTGTGTAAATTTTATATATAGAATTAGCCAAAAATTAGTTGACCAAGATATTTTTTGAGAATGGTTTAAACTAATTTGGAACAACTGTATGTTAGGACGTGTGATTCATTTTATTCCAGTTAAGAAACTCATAAATGAGGATTTATTAATAGCATTTTTGGCCTACTATAAATAATATACAGTTGTTTCAAATTAGTTTTAGCTGTTCTTAAGGTAATTTTTAAATGTATACCAGTTAAATAACGTTTGAGCCATTTTTTTATGTTATATATTTATAAATAATACTATAAAACTAAAAAAAAATTAAATTTTCTATTAGCGAACATTATACTAGAAAGAAGACAAGTAAAGATTTGACACATGAAGCTTTAGGAAAGATTGTTGCAGCCAAGAGTAATTTTGATGGTTTATGGTATAGAGGAAGAATTCGTACTGTCAATGAAACTAGTAAACAAGTTGAGGTAATTTATTTATTATAATAAATAATGTTCAATAAAATATTATAAAAAGATATTTTCACATCAAAATTATAATTAGGTAGTAATTGAATTTAAAGTTTTCTATTAGGCTAAAATTGAAATTAAGGGTTGTTATATATAAATATACACAGTGTACTTTTTATTAGCAATGTTGATGGGAGGCAGTGCACAGATAATCAAGAAATGTACAATACAAACTATATACTGTACTTTATTGAGAAGCTAAGAAAAAAATATTCTAAGTAATTTCTGATTTACAAAACCATACTAACCTAACTTACAAATTCACATTTATTTTGTATGTAAATAATTTATGATTTTTGCTTGCTTTTGGGATTCAGTAATTTTTGAATCCACTTTTGTAGTTAGACTGACAAAAATAAATCCCTTAGTGACATGTAGAGATTTACAAAATCTGCAAATATATATTCAATATACATGACTGCTGTATTTAGGAAATTATGTTGATAGTTTCTCAGGTAAAGTTTCAAAAAAATCATTTTTGAAGGTTGCCTTTTTGTACATTAGTTTGGATCATAAAAATATGAACTGAAGATAGTGTGACCGGAGGGTCAGCACCTCTTTAGTACCATGTCCTGATTGACATAGAAGCCAAGATGGTGTGTTGATTCAGTCATGCAAGTGGCTGCATGCACGGGCGATCGGATCTAGTATGGAGATGGGTTGAGAGACAGCGTACCAAAAGTGAATCACTCGGGTCTCAAATTAACAACTAATAACAATTTAATTACATAGACAACATGATACAATTTACAAATTTGTTACAGTTCATTAGGCCTTAATTTCAAGGGATCTTAAAAGAAAGCAGTCGCGAGAGAGAGTTTACATGAGATTTTCGTGGCGATAAATACCATAGGGTGATGAGGTCAAAAATAGTCTGAAGCTCGTTCTTGATCATGTATCAATATATTTAGTCCCCTGAGATAAAGTTCGTCTTCAAAATGCATACCCATAGACGAGGAAGTATCTGTTGAACTGAAGTATCAGCAAGACTTAAGTATATCCATTGGCACTAGATAAGGGATGATATCCCATTGAGGGACTGGTGACGACTGCCTAAACTTGCAGTTTCTGGCTATATTGACTTGGAGAAATTGAGATAGTAGGTCAGGAGGTTAAGAGAAAACATCACTTTTACTGCTGAGAAAGTAACAAATGATTTACTCCCAGGTGTGAAAGTTGATTTTACAACATTAAATTGTTTACATTGAAGTCTGATTTCTCACAATAGTTACTTCATGTATAGAATGATTTATAAATTTTTGTTTTCTTTATAAAAATTTTTAGGTCCTATAAATATATGTGTGTAATATAGGATCTATATTTTAATCATCTTAATAGCAGAAAAATTACGATATTTAGTGATGTTAGGAAAAGGAGTTACTTTTTTCTTTTTAATGTGAAAATTTTCCAAGTCTTGCAATAACAAATACATAAGTATATTGAATTTTCAGGCATTGTCATCTTTCATTTCAGTGGCATAAAAATACATCAGCTATGAATAAGAATAAAATTTCGAGAGAACATTGCAATCAAACGTTCAAAATTTTAATTTAGTGTATTTGAAAATTTATAAATAAATAACTATTTTTCACAGAATTTTTGTTTGAATGTATTTTAGTGTAGACATTTTCGGACAAATAAGAATAATATAAATATCTTATCAAAGGATCCCATATCACAAGCCCAAGTGTACCCAGACTATTTGGATTTGCAAAAACACACAAAAGCAGAAAAGAGATAAGATATTTTCAACTACTGATCTGATCTTATAAGAAATGAAAGTAAAAAGTTGAATAAAATTGATTATTATTTTCCATTAACTAATCCTTCATGGTGTATTTCACCTTTATAGCTTTCACTCTGATCTGGTACTACAACCAAGAAATTTCTGAAAGCATTTATCTATTATTTTCTAGTTTTACTTAAAAAGTAAGATGATGATTTTATTTTTCTTAAAAGTTAACTAAAGAGTCAAAGTAAAGGATGATTATGAATAATGTTATAACAATCAATAGAATTTCTGTAATAAGAATTATAAAAATTTATGGTTTTATTTAATAATTTAAATCTTTTTATTTATTGAGAATCAGAAGAATATTTGAAAATTTTGTTGTTGTTGTTATTTTTTTAAGATCTTCTTTGTTGATTTCGGTAACTGTGAATGGATAAATAAAAATAATGTTGAGGATATTGATGAAATATTTATGGAATTTCCTTTTCAAGCCTTGGAATGTCGTTTGGCTAATATAAACATTAATAAGTGGAAAGAACAAAAACATTTGGAAAAAGAGGCACGGTAAGAATTCTTAAGAATATTTAAATCTTGCATAAATTGTTCTTCTGAATTATTAACTTATTGATAAAGTAAAGACTTCAATTAAAAGTGTCAAATTAACCCTTACTGAAAAATAATTTAAGACTTTTAATTGAAGTGTTTACTTTATTATTCCAGTCCAATAAGTGGTGTTTTATCTCTTATAATGATAAAGTATTTGACTATAAATTTTATTCTAAAATAACTGGCATTTTGAATATTAATAATAAATAATAGGTGTTTGTTTTGGATACACAATGGCTGGGTGATCCATGATGGGTGAAAGTCAAGTGGGTAATTTTGGGCAGCTGTCATTTGGGTGACAGAATATTAAAAATTTTGCATGCTTAGCAACCATATGATTTAGCAGATATTTTTTTTTTCCTTTTTTTTTCTTGTAAAATTTTAAGTTAGTTTTTCTAACTTAAAATTTTACAAGAAAAAAAAATGGAAATGTTTTGGAACAACATACTGTAACATCATTAATTATTGTATGTCAGAAGCAGTTAACAAAGTACATCAAAGAAAAGCAGTTCTTCAAAAACAAATTCTTTTGAAGAACTTTTATACTTTTTTGTTTTAGTGTATGTAATATGCTTGTTACATACACTAAAACAAAATTGTTCTTTTAACTTCTTTAACTCATTTCTTTAAAAAATGATATTTAAATTTACTTAATAGTAGATCAATAGAAAGAATGGTAATTTTAATAAAAAACAAAAATTTTTTGTATTTTGTATATCATTGATCTATTAGTTTATCATCCAGTTGGTAGTAGCCCAGATGACAACCATCTACTTGTTGTTGTCCAGTTGACGATATCCTGTGTGTAGGTTATTTGTTTTAAAAAAAAAACACATTTTAGAATAATAAAAAAAACCATTAAATTGAGATTTTATATCCAAAATTTTTCTGTGATTATCAGGTTATAGACCAGGGGTGGCCAACCTGCGACTTGCGAGCCACATGCGGCTCTTTGAAGGATTTTTTGTGGCTCTCAATAAATGTACCCGAGTTCCCTTTTCATTTTTGTGTTATTATATTTTAAAAAATTATTATCGTTCCATATGTGTTTCAAAATGTCTTTTAAATTACTAACAACAAATATGAAAGACTAAGTGCAACGCTGTAACAAATTTCATTTCCGTCCAAGTTAAGAATGATATGACTCATCGAAAACTGTGCGAACGAACATAAACAGTGGCGTAATCGTTCATTATCGATCGACTTTGAATTTGTAAACTGTCATTGCAACGGACAGTTGACATTGTGCTCTGAAGGAAACAATTTGTATCACTCTTGCTACGGATATAATTTGTAATCTGAAATTTTTTGCATACCTTTTTAATACGTATTTAATTGCGGCTTGCGAAAAATTTCAATTTTGAAAAATGGCTTGGACTATCAATGAGCTTGGCCACCCTGGTTATAGACATTGAAACATCACTACTGTCTATACATCAAAGGTAGAAATAGGACTTTATAATTATAAATATCAAGAAATTTTACAAAGAAGTTATTATTTATTTTAAGCAATGATGATAATGATAAAATGATGATGCAAACTCTCTTTTAACTTTTGATTTTATTTTGTAGCTTTGTCTTTGCAAGTTGTGCAATCAAGACAAAGTTCAATTGATTGAGCCAAAAGATTGACTGTTTTTTCTTGTTTTAAATATTTTGCTCATGATGCTTTTGCATTTTGATTGGGTTTTGCAATGCTTAAAGAAACATCATGAACAAAGTGTTTGAGACAAATGAGAAAACTGACGTAACAAAAAGAGAAATACATAAACAAAATAAAAAATATCAAAGACATTTTTGAAGTTTAACAAATTCTTTGTTTATACACAAGATAAAATGTAATATATTTATACAGGTATACCTCGCCTTACATCGGTAATTGGTTCCAGGAGAGCGACGTAAGTCGAATTTACTTGTCTCCGAATCTACTTGCCACTAGGCTAAATCATAAATTACCATTCCTGGTTCTGTATTTTACTTATTAATGCATGTTTAATAATATATGGTTAATAAGGATCTATTTTAAGCTTACAAACAAATAAATTTTAGTTTTTAATATAGTACAGAAAAAAAATCTAAACTTACAAATGCATGTACATTTACAGTACATACTTGTAAATGTATATATTTTAATATGATTTTATGTGCTTTAAACGCTTTCTAGTGATATTATGACTTCAATATTTGTGGCAGACAGACGTAAAGTCAAATAAAATGACTTAAACTTGATTTTTATTTTTCCATATACTTTTTTGACAAATGATGTATAATCGGGAATGGCGTAAGTCGAGGTATACCTGTACATTATATTTTATTTTTTTTTACCTCTTTTTCCTAAATTATTAAATTATTCTTTAGATTGACATCATTATCCTTATATTCTTAAGAAGGTTGACAATTTTTTTTTTGAAGTACTGAAATACTAAGGTATAACTTTTTAGTATTAACATTTTTGCATAAGTTTCTTTCATTAATATTTCTTTGTTAGTTATTTCTGCTGATTTTCCACATTGGTGAATAGATGCAGTGTACAATGCCAGCTCCTGAATGCTCAGTTTATCATTTATTACTTCAATTTTTTGATATTACTTGGCATTGTTTCACCTTTTTGCAAAAATGAAAACTAGATTGTGTTTCCATACAGACACCATAACCTTGCACTGAACCTGAGCCTTCATCCATGCTGCTTCCACATCTAGTTGATAAATGAGTACCACACAAATGAGTTTGTGTGATACTCATTTGTCAAGCTTCTTGATTTTTCCTAAGGCCTTTACATGTGGTGGTGGTGGTGGTAAGACAGTTATTACTCCTTGGTACAATCTGTGTTATGAAAAAGGGAGGAGGAGGGGTGGGGTGAGAGAGGGAAAAAAGGATGAAGAAAGGATTGGGATCCATGGGCATCCTGTGATGGTGCTTTATAAGAAAATTTTCAGTAGAAAACACAATAACAAAAATTTTAGAGGAATACATATTGGGAGTGCTATGTTACAAATTCCAGATAGCACTAACATATGTACAGGTAATAATGTACATACAGTATGCAGATTAATATTGGTATAAGTAATTATATGTTGAGTGCTGTTTGACAAATCACAAGTCTTTACGTGTTAGGAAATGTTGAATAACAAACATTAAATTTGAACAATGAACTAAAAGGGTGGAAAGTTTAGATTTTGAAAGATGGCAGTTTTATTTGCAACAATCCAATAGCTCAATAGCAAGCTTACAGAAGATCAGTCTACAATTGTTGTTAATTAAAAATTTCATAATTTCTGAAATTAATACTCTCTGAAGTTGATCTTTGTTACTGTCATCATGAATAAGATTTTTTTCTTCTCATTTTTCTGTTTCTAGATTCTCATTTTTACTTATATATAATTACACTTATAAATATAATTTGACATTAAAATTTTATTTTATATTCATGAATTTAATAAATTTATTAAAATTTTCTGAATATATAATAAATATTGATTATTGTGCTATTTTATAGTTTTCTCTTTCGTGATTTGACTGAAGGAAAAGTTTTGATAGCTTTAATATTAGAAAAGTGAGTAATTTAAACAGTTTTTTTTTTTCAAAAATCTTACCTTGTAGACAATATAATAAATATTTTTATTGTTAGTGATGTATTTTTTTTAAGAACAAATCATGACTTAAATAAATTCAGTATTTAGGCATTTGCATAATTAGTTGCAGAGATTAATTACTGCAACTAAAAATAGAAAATAAAGTTTTAAGTCAAGAAATGTTCTTAAAAAAATTAAATACTGTAATTGAAATAATTTATTAAATTTTTTATTTTCAGAGTGAATTCTGTACTCTACCTCAATCTTTACACATTGGATGGAATTGCAATAAACGAGGAGTTTATCAAACATGATTTGTTTGACTATTCACCAGAGTTATATTGAGCAAAGTATGTTTAAGAAAACTTGTTATAAAAACAAGCAGTTTTCATAAATATTAATTTATTTTTATGTAATTTATTTTGTTTCCATTTCTCTCTTATATATTAAGTAATCAAATGTGCCATTTATTGTTCCCTTAGTTTCATTAAAAAACTCATGTATAAAAGTACAAATCTATTTTTATACAGTGAAAAGTAGAATACGAACAATGAAATTATTTTTCATAAATATGTATTTTATAGGCCAATGTTTGTTTTATTTTTATTTAAGATATGGAAAATGTTTTATAATTAATAAAAATAATATATACATGTACGTTTGAATTATCTAAAGTTTTATATAATTCATTTTTATATTACTATAAATAAAGTATATAAAAAAGTTAATGTACCTTTTGCTATTATTTCCATTCTTGAGCTACACAGAATATAATTTAAAGATTTAGAAATAAGAGACTAAATTTTTTAAATTTATACCTTCAAGAAAATTTTAATTAATATGAATTGGTAGATTTTATAAAAGATAAATATATATATTTAGAATAATAGAATATATTTTCAATAATAATACAATGTTAAATGTTTATTAGTTGATAAAATTGATTTTTAAATAAAATACTAATCCTAAAGATAATCTATTCCATGTGTAAATATTAAAATTACAATTTAATAAGAAAAAATATATAAAATGTTTTATAAAGTATTTTTAATAACTTTGATCTCATTTTGAAGATATTGACTTTATTTTTGTGAAGGGATTAGTACTGATGAATCTTTATTTCTGACTTTTTTTTAATTATTAGTTTTGAGTCAGTGTCAATTCCTACACTATTTTTTGTCGCCCAGTTGACAGTATCCTGTTTGTAGGTTACTTGTTTTATTTGCACATCTGAATTACAGTGTCTGGCTCAGTAAGAAATGAAGTGATTTTGATTATAATGTAAGGATTAACCTGCAATAAGATTGGAGGTTAATCCTTACATTGTAATCAAGATCACTTCATTTCTTACTGATCCTGACACTATGATGTAACAGTTGATATACTTCATCCCTTGTTTTGTTTTTGTTTGTTTAGTAGTGGTCATACAGTATAGTAGTTTCAATTATAGCCTTCTTGATAAAAAGCACTGAGTTCAGTGTTAATACGATTTTTCTTGTATCGCAAGTACTTTCGACGAGTATTATATCGTCGTCTTCAGGCGAAAAAAGAACAAAATTTGAATTAGAACGTGCAGAATGTTCCAAGTAGAAAACGGAAAATTTTTCTTGTCAATTTCTAAATTATAGCGTTCGGTAATTCCGTTGGTCACGTGCAACAAGCTTTTGCTGGAGTTCGAAATATTTTAAATCCACACGACTAGCAGCGCATGCGTTGAGGAGCGATCGTACTAATTGTGCGACTCTTGGCGCTTTTTGCTATTTAAACGCTGGTATAAAGTAACCCATATTTCGGGCAAGTCGAGTGTGGGGACGTTGCATGCGTCTGTGGTCATTGTAAGGAGCGCTTCCCAAATAAATGTAATTCTTCTGTTGTTACAGCTCCTGAGCAACGCTGTTTTTGACCATAACGGGTTATAGCCCTGCTGTAGAACTTTTCTGGCGAGCTCTGTGGTCTGTCTTCCTTTGTTTATATCATCTTGATGTTCCGCGATACGGCAAGCGAGCATTCTTGTCGTTGCCCCTATATACTTCTCAATTGTCCCCGTTATTGGATTTTCCAGTTGCACTGCGTATATTCCCGATTTTTCTAAGACGTTGACTTTATCCCATCTAAAATATCTCAAACAGCTGGAGATTACTTGCCCAATTACAATTTCTTTTGAAATGCAGAGCAAAAAGAGTAGTTCCAAAGTGCATACAGCTTAAGCGCAAGAAATTTCCGGAGTGTTTACGAGGGATAATTCCGAAGGTAGAGCAGTCTCTTTTGACCAAGCTAATTAGAAACAAACGCAAGTGCCTTGCAGAAGCAGAGCAAAAAACCTACGTAGCTCATCTGTATTTTTCCAAAGCATGTGACCCCTCCACGTTGTACGTTCAACTGGGCAAAGTGCAAAGTATAACATCAATCTCCACGCAGAAAATTAAAAAGAAGTTGGACAAAAAGCTCCAGTGGCTACTCAATTCGACGCGTACGCAAAAAGCAGCAGTAGTAACCACTCCATATTACAATTATACAAAAGAGCAAGTACCCATAATCGTACATAACACACTGGAACGGGGTCCCAAGTACATCTCACATCCTATGAGATCGGATTTCGACCAGTTAGTCCCAGCCACCTTAGCAGCTTTAAAAGCCTGCCAGACTGCACCAATGTACCAGCAAATGGAGTTAGAAGTCATCACAAAGCTTGCTACAACAAAGCACATCTCCGATGCACCAAATAGTCGCAAAAACCAACAAGCAGTAACGAAATTCCTTGCCAAGAACGATCTGAGGCTCTTAGTATCGGACAAGGACAAAAGATTTGTTTTGTGCAGAGAAAATGACTTCATCGCTAGAGCCAATGAGTTTCTGTTACAATCATGCTCTGTGGAGATAAACAGCGACCCAACAACAGCAGTACTGCGAAGAGCAAAGAAAATCATAGCACTTCCAGGAATAGCCTTAACACTACCAGGACGCCTCGATCCTCCATCCAATGTTGCATGCCCTAGGCTATTTTTCCAGCCAAAAACGCATAAAGAGAACTGGCCACTACGACCATTAGTAAACAAAAGGTCACATCCCACTTACCACCTAGAAAAAGCCCTTGCAAAGTTTCTACGAGAGCTACTTCCGGAATCACCGCATGTCACTCCTTCCTCTATGGATGCCAAAACAATCATTAGTTCCAACATGGCAAAAGCACATGGCAATAGCAGCATGTTCTACAAAATGGACGTGATATCCCTGTACCCATCCGTTCCTGTATTTGAAGCTGTAATGCTAGCCAACGCTATGCTCCTCGAAAAAGGTTTTACGGTTCAACAAGTGCTAGACATTCGTGAAGCGTTGATCTTTATCACTGAAAACAACTATTTCCGCTTCAACCAGAAAATATATTTACAGAAGCAAGGAGTCCCCATGGGCTCTCCTCTCTCAGCAGTATTAGCCGAGCTCATTATGAGGGACGTGGAACAAAAAATTTTCAAAGTTCCGCTTGCTATGTGCTACCCATCACTATACTTGCGCTATGTAGATGACATTCTACTAATATGGGAAAATTCAGAAGAGGAGTTTATCCAATTTATGCAGCAACTTTCAAGCGTGCATTCCACCATCAATTTCACATGGGAAAAGGAGCAAGATCGATCTATAACATTTTTGGATATGCGGATACAGAAATCAATAGAAGGGCCGCAGTTTACGGTGCATCATAAGTCCAACATAGTCCCCTATATCATTCCAGCTGATGCATTTCAACCATCGCGGTATGTCAATTCCGCCATAGCGGCTCTCATCAGAAGAGCGATGCTACTTCCCTCATCGCAAGCTCTAATAAAAGTCGAACTGGAAATCGTAAGAACGGCAGTACATCACGCTGGATTCACAAGTGCCAAATTTACGCATGTACTACGTAGGGTAAAAGATTCCCTTTTCCCGTTTACCACACTACATAGCAAAAAAGAAATGTCTAGAGTACAATCAGCACTGCCGTACCTAGGAGCACCGTCCATACTTATTAGCCGTATTTTCCGGCGATACAGCTTTACTCTTCCTTTAACTACCCTACCCAACCTACGCAGGAGTATATGCAATGATCGGGATAAAGTCGACGTTTTAGAAAAATCGGGAATATACGCAGTGCAACTGGAAAATCCAATAACGGGGACAATTGAGAAGTATATAGGGGCAACGACAAGAATGCTCGCTTGCCGTATCGCGGAACATCAAGATGATATAAACAAAGGAAGACAGACCACAGAGCTCGCCAGAAAAGTTCTACAGCAGGGCTATAACCCGTTATGGTCAAAAACAGCGTTGCTCAGGAGCTGTAACAACAGAAGAATTACATTTATTTGGGAAGCGCTCCTTACAATGACCACAGACGCATGCAACGTCCCCACACTCGACTTGCCCGAAATATGGGTTACTTTATACCAGCGTTTAAATAGCAAAAAGCGCCAAGAGTCGCACAATTAGTACGATCGCTCCTCAACGCATGCGCTGCTAGTCGTGTGGATTTAAAATATTTCGAACTCCAGCAAAAGCTTGTTGCACGTGACCAACGGAATTACCGAACGCTATAATTTAGAAATTGACAAGAAAAAAATTTTCCGTTTTCTACTTGGAACATTCTGCACGTTCTAATTCAAATTTTGTTCTTTTTTTCGCCTGAAGACGACGATATAATACTCGTCGAAAGTACTTGCGATACAAGAAAAATCGTATTAACGCTGAACTCAGTGCTTTTTATCAAGAAGGCTATACAATTTTGGCGTGAGTTTTATTTATTTTGTTTGAATCATGATTGTCATCTAATAGGGTTTGTATTTTTATTATTTCATTCATTAAACAAGGTATTTGAAAATTATTCACTCCATTACGTATGTTTATAAAAATTACGCCAGTAGAGATGGAAAAAAGCAATTGCTGCAGATGATAGAGAGACTCAATTAATATCTTCATGTTGGCAACACTGAATTCCAACATTTTCCAGCATTCATTGCCAGAAAATGGCAACACTCACAATGAAAGCAACATGGGTACTTTGGCTTTGAGAAACAAAGAGTCCCGTTTATTCTGCAACAATCTAGATGTGAATTCAAGAAGGATCTGCCGATGAAACAATTGATAAGTGATGGTTACAATAATTCCAAACCACAGGAACAGTACCATGTTGAGAAGATGCAGGTAGGCCAAAAACAGCAATTGAAAATGTCAATCAGGTTCACACGTCATTCCAGTGAAGTCCTCAAAAATCCATTTGTGCAAGTTTGGAACTGAATCTTCCAAGATCTTTTGTCCACATTATTGTGCCTAAAAGGTTGAGGATGCATGCATACAAATTGTAGATTATTCAGCAGGTGATGCCTGATGACCAACTGAAAAGAAAGGATTTTGCTATTACCATTCTGTCCAAAGTGAATGACAGTTATGACTTCATCAAGAGCTTTGTCTTCTCTGACAAAGTCACTTTTTGTATGTCGGGGAAAGTCCACAGACATAACTGTTACATATAGGGTTGTGAGAATTCGCATGCATTTCTGGAACCCAGTGCGATAGCTCTAAAGTTGAATGTCTGACGTGCCAACAATAATGTGTTTGGCCCATTTTTCTTTGCTGAAAACATGGCAACAAGCAGCAGTTATCTTGATATGCTTTGATTATTTGCTCTTCTGCAACCAGACGACCCGTAAGCAAATGTAATTTCCAATAAGATGGGGCACCCCACACCATGCAAAGGAAGTCCGGTGTTATCTTGACACAACGTTCCCAGATCAATGGATAATTCAAGGAGGTTCCATCGTGTGACCTTCTCATACACCTGATCCAATGTCTCTCAATTTTTTCCCGTGGGGTTTGTCAAAGATAGGGCATATGCGAAAAAGGTATCGAGGTAGAATAATCGAAGGAACACATCACACAGGCAATCAGGACAGTTCCAATTGATACGATTGGGAACACTCTGAGAGAGTTCAAAAGTTTGAATCCTGCCGTGTTAAAAAGCCATTGCAAATTTCAATTTCTAGTTTGGTAAAGTTTCACTACAAATTATACAAAACGATCCATGCTTATTATCATTTATTTCATTACACAAAAAGCCATATATTAGAAATTTTTAGTTTATATTATTTTTCTTACAGTTGTCTTTTTGTATAATTTAGTAATTTTTAAACATTTCTAATATTAGAATATATTCTGTATTATTTTGATTTTATAAAAATGCTTTTGTGGTCGATACCAGTGTCTAATTCTGCCGAGTTTTTCCTAATCTATTGGTCTATATATCTGGGTAAAATAATAATAAATGTTAATTATTTTTGTGATGATAAAAAGTATATAATTTTTTATTATTTGAATTTATTTCATATATTTAAGTCTTCACTGATATGTAAATTCATTAATTATTTTAATCATTTGAAAGAAACAAAAAGCCCAAATGTTATAGTACTTAAATATAATTAAAGTACATTTTCATGTAAAAAAATAAAAATACATACTTTATTACAAAATAATTTACATATTCAAAATATTTAGAGGCAATGAATTTTTTAAATAGTAGCTTAAGGAAACAAACTACAGTACTGTATTAATATCACTAACAAGAATGTACTCCATGATAAACCTGTTGCAATGTCTTCAATCACATTTCACGTTTGTCTGCTGCTGTTATGGATTGTATAATTTCTGACTTTCCTCCTCTTCTAAATGTGAAGAGTTAGCAATGGTCTTCACTAACTGCTCTCAATTTATTTACACCTGCTTTACCACCTTTCACTATTTATCTAATCAATTTATATATTGAGTATTTTTTCTTTTGTAAATACAGGAATTAACTTTCTTGAGATCCACCTTTTTAATTACTGTACCATAGTACAATAATTAAAATAATAGAAAATCTAAAGTTTTTTTGGTCTTCATTACAAAATATTGCCAAACAAACGATTCTGAATCAGGATGTTGAGACGTTTAATTAAAATCTAAAGAAAAAATGTAGTAATATATCATACACTATGCCATAGTGTAAGATATATTACTACATTTGTTAGTGACATATCTATATTCTATCTATCCATAGTGACTGGATAGATGAAATCCTTGAAACAAGTTGAGTAACATTACCAATTGTAACTTTTAATTCTTGTGGAATCATATTGAGGAAATAAGAATGGTCTAGTAACTAACATTAGTATACCTTTTTATTTTTGATTTAGAAAGAGTTAATTAATTATATTAAGATAAAAACTATATTTACCTAATCAGCAAACATTTAGTGATAACTTTGTGATATTAACGTAAAAGTGTCCAATAATGATAAACTCTGGCATAATTTTCAGAAAGTCTTTTGCTAAGGCTATTATTTTTTGAGGGAGGAAACAAAGATGCTTTGTTGACAACAACATCGTACCGTAAATAGTGGCGCGTTATCCTACGGGCAAAAAGGGCAATTTACACTTCCCTATAAAAAGGGCAAAAACACTCTTCCCTATTTAATTCTATTATTTTATACTAAAAAGTGAATCTATTAACTGATATTCAAATAAAGAACAATTATGTTTTTTTAAGTGTATATTTGTACAGCATATATTTTCTTTTGGCCAGAATTTTGAATTTCCATAGAATAAGATGATCCAGAAAATGGCTACTGAGCGATTAATCTCTGTTCAAATTTTTTATTACTAACGACAGCTTCATTATTTTAATCACCTGTTTCAATTTTGTTACATTTTTATGTCATAAGTTTATATAGTGTTTATTTTAAATAATTACTAAAGCAATAAAGCTTTTATACATTGTTCTAGGAGCAAATCTGGAGGGGGCGAATTAAAAATTGTTCCTCGATCTGCATTTATACTCTCTTAAATTTCGGATATTATTTAGATAATTTTACTGTATTTGATCTCCGGAGTATACTTTTAACGTCATTTCGGTTAAATTTTACTTATTTAATAATACCATGTACAGAAATTATTTTTACAGTTAAACTTCTTATTAAAATTACGTTTTATCAAACATCAGTAAATTAAAATTTAATTTTAGATTTAACAGATTGAGTAAACATTGCATTTTAGAAATCTTTAGTTTTGTTTCATTAATTAATCTAAAAAGTATTTTCATACAGTGGCATCCGAGCACTTTTAGATTAATACGGGTTTTTTTTTTTACAATTAATATCGCGAATACGTCGTGAAGCGACATTCAAAAACACTTAATTATTCTCTCACACTTTTCACATTTAATATAGTCATATAACTTACAAAACAAAGTTAATTCAACATTTTGTGTGTTAGCGAAAATAGAGATTATTTGCATTCATAAAATTGGGAGGATGGAAACTCTGGCTCTGAAGGTTTACCTGTAACATATGTAGACTACACTTTCGTCGTCACGAAAGTAATTAGTCAAATTAAAATACTTTTTATATTTAAAATACTTCGTTTATTCGACTAAATGAACAGATAAGTTACATTATAGGCCAGTGGTCGGCAACCTACACACACCAGTGCCATATAATTATTATTATCTAGTATTGGTCACTTCGCGTGCCACCGAAGTGAAACTGGGGAAACTATGTTAATAAAGCTTTATTTGACTATAACAATACACACTACGGTAAACTACTATAATAAAAACATCACTAAAACTTACAATATTTAAACATTACTGATGCCCTTGCGGTTTTAAAGCTGACAGTAGTAAGTACTGTACGTTGTACCGAAAACGGTTAAAAGAGCAAAGGAGACACTCCATACCTGAAAATCTGTCTGGAAATTTATTCCGCCTTTGTTATTATGACAAAATTTTAATTTATGTCTTATAAATTATTATTATTATTTTTTGTTTAAAAAGTTTCATTAATTGTCATTCTCTAGGCCGACCACTATTACAGGCAATTTATAGAATTCGTAAATTATAAATGTCCAAACAAGTGATTATTAACCTTTATTTTAATTCTCTGTCCTAATTGGTTGGCTTTAGTGCAAAAACCGATAGTCAAAGAATTTAAATGAGTTATTGGGTGTCGGAATCTTGCTATATCTTCAGGAGCTTGTTGCGATATTATGGAATGCCGAGAAAGTCGGGTTGAAAATCATCGAACCAAACTGTTGGAAGTTATTTTAAATAATAATAAATGTAGAGCAATAACGATAAGGCATAAAATGGTAAGTTTTCAGAATTTTATAATAAAATCTTTTGATATTTTACTACATATATCGGCCAGTCGTCTCGCGGTGGTACTGTAGAAATGAGTGATTTCTTTTTCACCAGAGCACTTTGTTTCGGTGTAGAAAATGGAAAATTTATTAAATTTACTATTTAATATTTCTGTAAATAGAGATAAGATTGGCAGAATGTAGGCTTGGTGCCCATTTACGCCAATAAACGTAAGATAGAAGTATTTAAATTCTCTCGAGATATTTTTAAGGGTTATGTTGATTTGCCTGGAATTTAAGCCACAACAACCTGTTCTATTTCTCTTTAGTTTATATTAAGCAGAAAATCCTCCCCGATATTAAGTTATTTGATATAAAAATAACCTAACCTTCTGTTTTGAAACCAAGTCTTCACTTGTGTATCTGTCAAGTTAAGTTTTTTAGCTAATTCCATTCTTTCCTGAACACTTAAGTATTTCTGTTGATGGAAACTTTTTTCCAATATCTGAAAAAATAAATAAATTATACAGTTTAAGTTAATTGTGTACATTTTATAAACCGTACGAACAAAATTACAAATTTTTAATTTTACCGACCTGTAACTGATAGTCGGTGAATGACGTCCTGGCTTTTCTGGGTTTTCTACACTTCAAAAAAGGAGCAGTTTGTGTTTTTTCAGTTTTAAAATCTTCGTTACACATTCCCGCTTTTAAAAAGAAATGAAAAAATTCTTTAGGTTTTCGTAATATTCAAAAGCGCCGTTTGAAAGTACAGAAAAGTGCGAAACGTTTCAAAGAAGGAGCGGGTATCGTCTATAACGAAAAAATTGGTCACTTACCGGTTTCATTTTTGGAATTAATTGCTAAAATATCTTTGATGAGAAAAGACGAAGTTGAACTGGAAACTGCAAAGCATTCTTTCGTCTTCATCTTTTCTAAAACCATTCTTCAATTGGAGGGGAAACATTTTACGGCTCTGACCTCTCCTCGTTTCTCGTTTCCTATTGGTTAGAAGGCACCGATCATCCGGAGTTTCTTTTCTTTTTTTTCCCCTTTAAATTTAAAATTAAATATTTAAAAAAGTTATAATATAAAACAATTAAAAAAGTGACAGCGCAATCTTTAAAAATTAAGCGAGATACAGAATGTAAAATAAGAATTGTTACATTTATCGCCAATGGATACGGGCACGATAGATCTAAATTAGAATCATTAGATAATAATTTTAAAAGCCTTTTATATTTATTAATAAGCATAGAAAATAAATTTTGAATTGCAGTAGATAAATCAAATTTCTGAAATACTGGTAACTGTCAGCAGCTGCCAAGTGAAGAGTATTGTTTGTAAGGGGAAGTCTTAATCCACTCGATCGACTAAAGATCTATATAGTGAACAGAGTTGTTCTGGTGTCCCCGATTCCCATTCTTTGTTCGACAAACTCGATCCGAATTCTGTTTGAATAAACACAGCTTAGGATTATCGGCTTCTCTTTGCTTTGACAATAGAGTCTGATGGATTTGACTTCCTTCCCGTTGAATAAACTCGATTATGAACTGTATCTTAACCTGTGACTCTCAGAGAGACTACAAAGCGCATTTAAGTACTTTACCTTCTCCCATTTAATTGCCATTGTTAATATTCAGAACCTGTAATGCTTCATCCAGAAAAACATTCTACTTTTTCCATTACAAAATTAAATTCTGATCTCCGGAGCTAAATGAAAATAAATCAAGCGAATGTTCAATAATCGTACCGCTTCTAAACTGATTATTGATGTTTAAATAAGTTTAATTTAGTAAGTTTTAGGGAGGAATAATGAGACGGTACAATGCAATAAAGATTTAAGATATTTTCTTGATATTAATACCTAAATTTATTATATTAATTTAAGAATTATATTGTTTTATTTAGTTTATAATCAAGACTTATACTACTAAAATCGGTTTATATTCGCAATTATTTTCTAATCAATTGGATAGTGTATTATTAATCGCGTAAACGGAATTAATTCGTCGGTATATTGTCATAAAAATTCTTAGGACTTATGCAAGAAACAATTGTCTTTTTTTTTATCAGTAACAACTTTTTAAATATTTATTTTAATTGAAATAATTAAAGCCATCAACTTATTAGTAAAGTTATTTTATAATAAAGAGTGGAAACCAAAACTGGATTATTAATTTGTTTCGTTTCGCAAATAAAAATTATAAAGTTTATTGTTACTTAAAAATTCCTCAATTCTTCGGTGATCCTTCCAAATTACCAACACGTCATCTACATAGGCCTTTTTTTTGTTTATACAATGTCTTCCATGAATTTTCCTAGGACCTCCTTTTATTGTTATTTTTAAATGTAATTTTTATTAAAACAATCAATACGTGGGATTTATTACACTTATTTGTGAAAAATTATATTGATTTATACAAATTTTATGTTCTTTTTACATTTTGCATTACTTTTTCCAAGATGTTACTTTTAAGATGTTCATTGTTTTGTGTCTTACCTTTAAACCTTAATTAAGAGTCATCGATTAAGGCAGTCATCAATTTAGGCATATTCAAATTGACGCTTACTAATCATGTAGACAAGATTAATCAAAGCATCTGTGATTCTATATTCTTGTTCTTAGATTTAAAATTATAATAATCTTCATAAAATTTAATAATCATAGGAGGAATACTTTCAGTCAATAAAGCTGTCTTCATTTGCACGAAAAGCATTCTCACCATATGCTCCAGTCGCCACGTGTTAATCGAGCTGTAAATTTTTTCTCATTTGGTTGGCAATAACCATTTTTGAGCCTTATAAAACAGCCGTCTCCGGATTCGCCTTCAAAGATGGATTCTGCGATTTGTTTTATCTTTCGGCATTCCAGTTTTATACTTTAACTAAATACGAACTCGATCATCAATTCTATATAAAATTCTATACCAATAACAACTAAAACAAATTACTTAAACGGCTGTATTTTAATTAATATTATTGTGTTATTCTGTTGCTAAGATCTAAAAATCTTATAAACTTTATTAATTCAGTATTTAAAAAACACTAGGAAGAAAAAAGCATCGACTATTGCGGCCAATACAGTTAAAGCTCGTAAACACTTATTTATAATTTACAACTTTCAAAAATACATCGCGACTAAAAGCGATACAACTCAAATATCCACGTCGAGAAATACAAAAAAAAAATTGGCATTTTTTTCTGTATGAATGTTAGTACGTATGATGGGTACAATTTTGTTCACCCTGTTTGAAGCTTAACAACTCCTGTGCTTTTGGTCGAAAATTTCTGAAATTTTGCAGGGAGGTTTGTGTATTAGGAGGATTGTTGCTATTAAATTTTGATGGTTAAAGGTCAAAGGGGTAGGAAGATAGTGTGGGTCGTGTGTATCACCGGTAGGGTCGGACTTAATGACGATTTTACTCGTTATTAGCATTTAAATTTTTTTTTTATAAAACTCTTGCCTTCTCTCAAAATTAAGTTTTTTTTTTACTATCATAAAATGTTTTAAAATAAATAAAATATTAACAGATGGCGCCACAAAATGTTGCCAGGAAAGTTAATCAACTCGTTGCTGGATTTTTTATTTACAGCTTTTTTTTCGATTCCTGAAAAAAAAGTTTTTACAACTTTATTTCCTCAAGGCTGTGCTCACATACATAGAATTCAAACCACGAAAATCACCTGATACGAGTATATAATAATATTTCACTAGTCTCTCCTGCAGGCAATAGAAGGTGAGACACCAATAATATATCTTGATTCTACTGTTATAAAATGTAAAGTAGATATTCACGTACAGTATTAGAAAACTATGTTTATAAGGAGCAACAAAAGGTCCCTAAAAACAAATATTATAAAACTACAAAATACTAAGAACTTTAAAACATAAAAATATATAAAAACCACAAAAACTAGTCCCTATCCCCTGGCTAAAGCTATTACCTAATTTAGCATGTAATTATTGTTCCCAGTATTATATCTAAACATGAGAAAATGCGAAGTACCAGTAAAGTTTATTTTCCAGTTTTCATTCATTCATTTCCACATATTCATTTGAACATTCTTAAAAAATGTGAAAGGAAGAGTCTACGTATTCTAATATCATTCTTATACCTTTCCTCCATTTTCTAAAACTCGTCTTATTGCACACAATAAACGGCATTCATTTGAATTTTTTACTATAGAACCAAATATGTATGTAATCACTTTATCTAACGGATCTTACTTAAAATTTCGGTTGCAGCAAAACCCGTTCTGGCAAATATAGCCACTTTTCTTTCTATTCTTTGTTTGCAACGTATAGAATAACTGTACCATATTTCACGTAATGCTGTATGTACTGTACCTAATAATTCGTTCACACTTTCAGTTATTATTGAAATTCCAGCACGTACTAATTTATTTGATGCCAATTTAAATATCTCCTTGATTAAAATTACTTATAATATGAAACTTGATAACATGACTAATGTAAACGAGCTTTTTGTTATATCTTAGCCTTAAAAATATAGCCGGTAGCCACACCTCCATATAAAACAAGGAAGAATTAAGAGGAAAAATATAGAGAAGTAATTAACAAGACACTATTTTCTGGTCATTTTCAAACGTAGCATGGGCTATAAAAAATGATGACAACTTTTTCTGTGCATTTTTCGAATAAAGACAAAGTAAGCTGAGATTGCCCCATAGATATGAGATGCCCTAGACAAAATTTATTTTTGAGACCCATTAAAAAAAAGTGATGGAAGCGGGATTTATTTACATGTACGGTACAATAATATGAACATTTTAAAATGTAGAAACAGTCGGTAAAAAATAAATAAATAAATAAAAATAAACTAGTGATTCTCAACCTTCACCATTTATATACTTTTTATTACACGGGACATTAGCATCAATACATTCAAAAATTGATAAGCAATTTCATGTTTATTATTCTCAGGAAACAATGAAGCAATAAACTAATAAACTTTAATATATTGAATAAAATAGAAACATGGAATTATCTATGAATATAGCAATGGGAATAAATTTGAATATAAACTTTAAAAAATCTTTTCTTTCGTGGAACACTCGAGGTAGGTTTGCGGAATACTGATTAACAACCACTGCAATAAACTAATAAAAACTTACAACGGTTTTACAATGAATTCAAAACTTCACATAGAAGACTGCTCTCCTGTCTTTAGCAGCGTGGAATTACTGAATTCTGTTGTGCAGAGATATCTCTCAATGGACAAGATCGAAAGTGAAGAAAGTCTCTTGGCACACTGTTGATGGGAGATAGTTCTTGATCAATTTTAACTTCGAAAATGATCATTCTGCAAACGCAACACATACGGCGCAATTATGTTTCCAATAATTACAACATTGATGATTTAAGTACTAAAATATACTACCAAATTTGCCAGGCCTCGGACGTAGCCTTTTTTTTTCTGTGGCGGGTCGTCTCCAATTAATACTGAAAATAAGTAATATTCTAACGAAACGTATTGTGATGACCCCAATACATTTTTAGAAACTAAACGTGTATTCTTGATATCACGTGGATCCTCTGAAACTTATCCGCGAACATCTGGAATTCCAGGCCTTTTTAAAACATCCTCTTATAGAACAACTTGCCATAATCTGTCATGGATAAAATAACCCAGTTAACTAGTACAATGAAGAAGAAAAGCAAAAAGAATTGAACAAATAATACTCAATATAGGCCTATTTTTTGAAATTTGCTTATTTTTTAAATACTTGTTCAATGTTAAAATTATTATTTAGCAACTTTCTTCACCCAGAAAGCATCGAGAGTGAACATATAAATATTTTAGAATTTTAATGATACCTCATGAAAATCTTTATAAAATCGAAAATTAGAAATATTTCTAAATTTGGTTTTATATTTTAACAACTATTTTTAATAAATTCGTTTTATTCTTGCAGATATTTCTTGTTTTTGCACTATTAAAAGTTAGTAAAGCAAAGCTCCTCACTAATTTGCCTCAGCACACCGAACCTCGTGTAAACAACACGAATATGCGACGAAATTTTCATGTACAGTACTGTTTTTATACTGCATTTTATTAAAAGTTAAGAAATATTGATAATTTCCATACATTATCAATAAAGCAGCAAATAGCTTGTTACAATTTTCATTGTATCAAATTAAGTTTTTTCATCAAACCAAAACTAGCATGTCACAATTGATCAAGCATTTTGTAAGGCCTTAAAACTTTCTAGCCCATACTAATTTCCTAATGAGCTAGTTTTATTGAATGTTAAAGGCATAACTTTCTTCTTACAGATGGGTCTTATGTCTGATAATTTAGAAATTTTGATGGGGATTAATGCATTTTTGAGCCACTATCTATCATTATTAATTAATCTTGCACATATTATAAACACTTTATTACATAAAATTTACATATCGAAATTTAGAATTTATTTCTGAACATTACTGGACAAAAATTAATTGAGAATAAAATAATTTCTGCTCAATAATTTACACAGTTTATTCACGAGTCTATAGTTATCGGATAAGTTTGAAAGATTCATGAATTATCACAGTGATGAGCAAAAACGAATTAAAATTTCAAGTTTTTCATAAACTAATGGATAGAATTTGCGTTTTATTCTGATATATTGATTTTTCTGAAAGCAGATATGTATGCCTTACAAAACTTTATAATTTAGAAAGTAAACCCGGAAAATAAATTTAATATCTAAAAATATTTTATTCCATTCTGAAATTCATTTCAATTTTTTTGGCATATTTAAATCTTCATTGATAATCATAGCAGTCTAAATTCTCCAGCTTGTAACATTGCTATATTGTCACTTGACAGACACGGTGGAGCCAAAAGAGAGATAAGGTCTATAATAATACTCTGCAGCAATCGATTTATCTGATCATATTTTTGAAACTTCAATTGAGGACTCGAAACCTCCATAATTACTTTCTTGGATATAACTATTCTTAATTATGCCATTACTCCTCAGTAGTTAAGAACAGAAGCTAATTTACCGAAATTAATTCTTAGCCTTAGAGTGTAACTTCAGTTTATATATTCATATATTCAAGAAAATCTTTTCTTTTAAATGTTTATTTACAGTAAATAAATAGACGATTGATAGTTATTAGTTATTAAGCGTTCAATTAATGCATACGATCTGAAATTTATTTTTTATTTGTAAAATATCCTCTTAACTGATCGCAAGAAAGATAAATCTATAAAATGAACTGTTTATTTTTATAAATTTTTATTACAGCATTCATCATATTTATCTTATCATTTAGAGTTCATCTCAACACTTGTGCTTATAATTATAAAAAAAATAAAGAAAAAAGATAAGACTAAAAGAAGTAATGATTTCATAGGATTATTATGGCATTTACATCATTTCTAATTACAGTATTTCAAAGATGAATACAAAACATAATTAGAAATTTAATTTACTAATAATTTTAATGCATAAATAGAATTTTTAATTTTAATTTTTGCAGTGGAAAAGGAATATTTGCACATAAAAAGTGTCGAAAAAAAAAATTGTATTATGAATAATATATGTCACAAACTTTAGTTTTATTTATATTTAATTTTTTAAAAATATTTCATAAGTAATTATAATAAAGTGTATCTTCTATACGAAGAAATTCGCCACGTAAAACATTTTAAAAATTGTTAAAAAAATAAATAGGTACACTATCTCAGATTCTTATCAAAGAAAAATAAAGTTTTATATGTTTAATTTTGTAAATTACGAGGGAATTTAGTCGAACCAAAGTCCTAAAATACAATGTAAAACAATAAATTATTATTAAACTTATCGCATCTGTTCTACATTTATTTTTGACAGCCAAAAAACAGGAGAATGAGATTACGTCTGCTTGCTCTACCTCAAAATATATTTTAAAATAAGATTATTTCGAAATTCATAAATGACCTTGAATCACTTTAAATATTTTTATGGACCATTTTCATTGACGTCACGTCACATGATCGAAACTCTTCCGTCTCCCAATGGAAATAAATTATTAAATGGAAAGTTCATATGAAGTTATTAATGGATTTAAATATAAAATGGATAGCATAGAGATTCAATTTATGGTCAAGATAAAATATTTAGGAGACATATTTAATGATGACATTAATTGGATTTTCTATGTAGATAGTTTATGTAAATTAATATCCAGGTTTAGAGGAATTGTAGAACTGTTTTGGCATCTTCTAAACAAAGATACTACGAGAGTTTAGTTTTATGTCAATCGAAACTGGTGGTGGATCAATGGTATAGAAATTTGGAGTTTCGCAACTAAATAACTTATATATAAGATCTTATTCACTCTATAGGATAAACTTTATAAATATCTTATGAAAATATTAACAAGAACTATATATTATAAAACTTCTAAAAAATAAATATATAAACTGAAATGAATCAAAAGATAGATTCTGGAGAGAGAGAATTACTTTCAAAAAGCAAATGTTGGCTTACATTCTCCCCAAGTTTAGGCATTTAATAGATCAGAAAGGTACAATATACGCTGGTACTATGTTTTAAATAATTAAAATCTGGATTTCTGTGCACAGGCCAAATATATACGTAAATTATAAAATTAAAATAAACAATGGGAAGTAAAGAAAGAAATTGATTTAACAGATACAAATTAATATAGTTCTAAAGCAGGGTCTGTTTGATCATTATTTAATGTGACCTTTAAGATACGGTTATATATAAATATTATAATAAATTTCGACAAATACGCAGTGAATTGTGAGAGGATCACCTGTACGCAACAGCAGTCACACCGGAACTGGCCTTGCGCCACTCGTACTGTAGGCTTACATAATGGAAACTACCGTGCGTCCAACTACAGTTGTACTTCATCCCGCCAAATTCAACGCTACTCGGTTTCAAAAATAGCCTGTTTTCGGGAAGCCGGATATTTGGTCCAGTATCTTGTTACGTGTTTTGTGCTTAACTATTTGCTGTTTTTTTATTTGTTTTTATTTTCAAAGAAGTCATTGTGTGTCATAGAATTGGAATTGTATCCTATAATTATACAGCGAACATAGCTTAGTTCACGCTTCACTGTCACTGTTACAGTCACGTGTGCGAAAGGTTCCAACATGGCAGAATGTAAGATGCGCGTGCTCAGAACGGACACTAATACACGAACTAATCAACTATAATTAGCCTATTTTATATTTCTGATATAGTTATTATTCCATTAGACAATCTTTCTTAAGCGTTATTTGCGAATAATAGAGTAGTGCTGTTAAATTTATAAAAACTATTTCATAATATACTATCATTTGCGCCAATAATGGACATATTTAAAAAAGTTCGCTTTGTTTTTTGTCACAAAGCTAAGTATTAAGTATTGATTACCGAATGGCATGATGAGTCATTGTTGCCAAATATCTTTAAAATAGGATGTTCAGTAACTCCAAGAGGTCCTTTACCTAGTCTTATGTTGATATAAATCATTTCATATATTAATTAATTCATTAATTTTCTTATATTAAATATTTCAGTTTTCGGTTTCAGACTGATATCTTCATATCTTATAAGAATATACGGCTAACGCATTCTACCATGTTACGCGCCTAACCGGCGCGCAACATCGCGTAACGCCGACAGAGAGAGAGAGTGTAAGTTCTGATAATGGACGGGAGGTTGATAAATATCTCTATCGTAGGGAATTTCGGAATGGATGATCTTATGAGGAAGGAAGATAGAAGAGAAAACGGACACTCACAAAAATAAATAAAAGGCGTGAGCACGGTTCTGTTCTCTCCGTCCGAGAGTTTTCTTTTTCCAGCTATTCCCCTCGGAGGCCCTCGAATTGTCACCGGAAAATTTTTACAACGATTACTCCGGAATTGCCTCCACCATCCAAGAAACGTTTTCTCACTTCCTCTCCCTCTCTTATTACACTATTGTTTTAACCATTTGCACGAGAATCCGATTACAATTCCAATCCGGCATCCAACGATCAAAATGATAAATTTATGGCACCAGGATTTACACGAAGCATATGTAGCCGACATTGTTTCTCTCGTGCGCAAACCCGCGTTGTGGACCACTTAAACACTTACACGAAATGTACTCGAGCGGATTCGAACTTCTCCCCCACTGTCCGAAAATAACAGCCAAAGTTTGCAAGCATGAGAATTTGAGAAAATCTTGTGTATATCTAGTGAGAAATCTCTTAAAAATAAACAAATTTCCCCACTAATCGATCTCCGAGATAATTTAATGTTAACTTTATGTGCTCTACTGTATAAATAAAAAAAAAAAGGCCCACCAGTGGCCGAGTGGATAAACCACCGAACACTGGTGGGGTCGTGGATTCGGCGCCTGGCCAACGGGATGGCCATGTGGAGTTTTCTGGGTTTTATTCACGTTAGTAACACCTAAATAGGGGTCGGTTTCCCTTAAAAGCTCTCTCGGGTGGCAGATGGTCTACGTGTTGCGTTACCATAACCAAATAAACCAAACCCGTATAAATAAACCTATATAATAAAACTAAAGCAAACTGATCATTTACACTCTATTTTTAACAAAGTTTCATTATCTTTAAAAAAGTGTATGTAATTTTCTCGACTACCTCTCTCCTTTTTTTATTATAATAGTTTTTATGTTTACAATTCCAAATTTTCATATTATCCGTGTAAACTTTTTAGCTGATAAATTTATATCAAAAGGGATCACGCAACCTCCGCATCTTATTAAAAAGCGTACATCGCGTATATACGTTCACGCATTTACAGATGCATGTCGCTAGATGGAAGCGCGATCGTTTTAGTCGCCAGTGATAGTTTTGTGTGAGAGATGTTGAATGCCTTCGCTTCGTGTAAATCGAGCTTCACGGTTTAATATGACACAATTTCTTACTTTAGTATAAACACTAAGGTTATGTTTACTTCTCGTATTCGAATACAGTCATATGTTTCCCAACGCGTGCGAATTCCTTGGTGTTGGGTTGGGCTGACCCCACAATTTAAATACAGCGAATCTTACGTCACCAATAGAAATTTGAGTGTTGTGTACGCTAGGTCGAAAACCATTGATATAAACAATCGAAATAATGAATTATGAAGTGGCATGTACGATATTCCAATTTTCTTGAGTTGAGTCGACTCTGATGTATCAGGTGCCATCACTCGTTACTCGGTATTGTGGATGTACCCAAACTGATGACAGGCAAGGAAATACTCTTAATGCCTTCGGGACGGTAAGAGTTAAAGCGTAATCGGAGAAAAAATATTTTATGTTGCTGCGATTTAGAAAACGAAGCTTGGATAAAACATTCATATGATGGGAACAAAGTATATGAAATCATCTTAGTGCGAATAAATTTGTTCACATCCTACCATGATATGAAGTCATTAACTAGTAGTGAGTGGACTATATAATATAATTAAAGCAAACCGATCATTTACACCCTATTTTCAACAATTCCATTATTTTTAAAGGAAATCTTCGAGGGACAATTTAATTTTTATACCACAATTCGTGTATCTATCTACCTCTACAAAACGATAGCGATTAAACTAGTAGTGAACTTCACCGCTTACATCTCATAAAAAGTATGAGTTGTAGTTTGGTAGTATTATAATATTTGGTAATCGAATCCGGATTTATGGAATATGAATTCTTTAAAAAAATTGATCTATAAAAAGAATAATAATTTTTAATTAGCCTCTAGCATATAGCATTATGATATTCAATAAAATTAAGAATAATGTTTTATATAATTGGGAAATTCATCGAGTGCAATCTTTAATTCATTTGATTGGGGAAATTTCTACATAAAAATTTTACTTTGAATTATGTTCCCAAATCGATTATTTCTGTATTCGATATTAATATACAGCACATGTTTATTGGCTTCATTCCAAACCATAAGTTGTTGTAACTGTAAACACACAAAAAGAAATGTTGATGGAGTGTCACGTTACTTGTTTCTTCAATAGCTAAACATAAGTTTAGTAACTACTATAGAATTTTCTAAATAAGAGTCATACTTATGCTCAAAAAGAAAACAAAAATTCATTTCTTGATACAATTTAAAATGAAGATATTTGTCGAGAATGCTATTATTATTTGTTGGCCTATTTTTATTAATTCATATACACTTATAAGTAACTTACATAAAATAGAAAGAAATAATAAAATATCACAAGATATTTAATGGGTCGTTTCGTTCTAACTACTTATGAACTGAACAGATGTGATAGATTAATGATAAGAATTGATTACACAAAATACATCAAATGTTCTTTTAAATACATGACATGTACAGTGGAATCCGGTTATTATAATTACGGAAAATGTTATCAACCGACTATTGTTATCATAATCAGCCAGTCTCTACTCTATATAAAATTAGTTTAAAATAGTCTTCCTATTATAATCAAATTTCGGCTATTGTTATCAATTGTGATAATTACACTTGGGAACGAACGATAAGAATTCTTAGAAAATTCGTACTAAATGAAACTTACTTTTAATTAAAGCGTGTCTTATGTCTTCTACATACTGCAAATGCATGACAAGAATTATAAGAGAATACGTGTACTGGAGACCTTAAAGCGTATCTTTGGGGTTAATGTTATCAGTTTGTTATTATTATCGAAAGTTGCAAGTCTCAAAGTGATCATAATAAGCGGATTCCACTATATAATATATAACATAATAAGAAAATAGATAACAACATTCTTATATGTGAGCAACATTCTCTTAAGTATGATATGAAATCATTATTTTTATACAAAAAAATGTAGTAAATATTGTATAAAAACTGAATTTTACATTATGTAAATCATGAATGATATGCATTTTCTTGAATATATTGAAATTATATAAATAGAAAGATAATTTATTTTGCTCTTTACTAGAATATTCGATCCACCATACTCTTTTACGTCAATTTGACGTCATTTTACGCTTTCTCATTATAAATATGACGTCAAATGAAACTTAAAAGTTTATATTATTCTGAAAAAATGAGTACATCTTAGTTGTAAATAATAATTAGTTATCTTTTTATATTAAAATTATAGTATATTTATGGAAACATTCTTTATCTTGAGTGTATTACAGATATACAATAAGTTGCATGAATTCTATAATAAAATACAGNCTCAACGACAAAGCGACAGGAATTACAACGTAATAATCAATTTGGAAGATGCTGACCTTTAGAGGATGGGTAACCATGAAAACATTAATTATTTCAAATGTTGTATCAAATAGAGTCAATAAATGTACGAGTAATTAATAGCATTAAAAGCATTATATTGATATTTTCATGCAATAAAATTTGACAAAAAAATTATTTTTATTAATATACATTAAATGCAATGGAAGGAATAATTTGTAATAAATATGAGGCCCGAATCTCTCGGGTTTCTTGATAAATGGCCTACTAATTTTAAGTAAAATTGCAACTATATTCTAAAACAGTTGCCGTAGATGTAAGTTAGACCGTTCTGATATATCTAATACAAAATCTAATTGAAACCAATAAAATATACAAAATTTATGCATTAGAAAAAGTGTTTTTTTATACTTACATAATTAAAATAATTCACAAATTAAACTGCAAAACAACAATCAACGACAAATCTAATCAAAACATTAAAGAACCAAGTTTAATTAATTAATTTTTCTGTAATAAAAAATAGAATATTAGTTTAGTATAATAATTCTTAGAATGTTATCTGACAGAAGGGATTTATCTATAAGGTGGACCAAGCAATCAACTGAAGACCGAGGAAATCCTAAGTATTATTTCATTTAGGATTCTTGAGTGCTAATCCTTTACTGTACTAGCACACAAAGAACAGAGACAAGCGACGTGACAC